AAGGGCGCGGCAGTACGGAGTACGGAGTACTGCATTGCTACATTTCGGCATTTTAGTACTTTGTACGGAGTACTTGGGAGATATCAATTAAGCTCGATGACGTGATTTAGATCTTGATCGCGTCTTTACCAAGTGGGAATAGATGCAGGGACAGCGGGAAAGACATGCATAGTTTAAGCGGATATCTCCAACGAGGTTAATTGACTATCAGAGATGCCTCGATCTTTCCGAGGTTGGTCGTTGCAGCGCCCGAGTTTCCCAACCTTTATTCTTCCTAAAACATAGTAAAAGATATCCTGAGGCTGCGTCAGGGTTCCATCAAGGACGATCACGTAAGTAAAAAGGCAACGGTCTCCGGAGCAAGGACGTACTGGGTAATTCCGTGAGAATGGCGTTCTCCCTACATTATGCACCTAACAGATAGAGTAGTGCCAAGCCTACACGGCAAGCGAGACATTGTAAATATTCATAAATGCGATAAATCCATAACGGGCGGAAGCAGATGATCAATATCTTACAGAAGAATAAGAGACCTCTTGCTTCCAAGTTCCCCTCACAGGATGGCAATCATTATGTAACCAGGCGGTAGACGGAATATCAGAATCTTGAAACATCTCAAATCCACCAGGAACAGAAATCCAACGTGGAACCTATTTTTTTCCTTTCACCATCTCACCTCCAGATTGCGTGTTCTGTCAGGTCCATGATTGGTCTCGTGGTCCCACTTGTTGATCTTCTTGAGGCAAATCTCCTCAAGACGCGTTCTCATTCGTCATCCAGACACCTTGGCGCTACGTCGGCTTATCCACTCGGTCAGTTCCAACAACGTTGATATTGGAATTGATACATACATACGGCTATCAGGTGAGCTGAATGTCATGAGAGCAAGGGATGGCCGAACAGCTATGGCTGTGATAGTACCTGAAGCATCTACATAAAATCCAAATCTCCCGTCTCCTCTCGACCATGGGCTCCCTGTAAAAAAACGGATATACTCCACGACCCATCGTCATTCTTCCAGACCGAGTGGAACCTGCGAATTTGTGCTCTTTAGTGATCGGCTTGAGATCGTCAGTGGATCCGGCGTGGAATCCCTCCTTGCTTTTTAACGTGCGACTCGCTTTGAAGAACCAATTCTGTTCTTCTGTCCTTCTGTTCTTTACCGTTCTAGCACTTCCTACCAGTCTAGCCCTCGTATCACCCCTGACTGGATTTAACCTGAGTGAGCTAGGCTGCATTTTGCCAAATCTTAAATTGAATCTGGGGAGATATTGCGCCATCCGGGATTGAATCACGCACCAACATTCTTAGCCTTTTTTATTTTTTGCCGCGCCATGCAAACTGCGTGATCTGGGTTGACATTCTTTTTATATTCCTGATCGGCACATTCTGGAGACTCCTGTCTTTCACATTTGTCACACATCCTGGTGAAGCTTCGTCTTCCGGCTTTTGATATTGTCAACTGCGGTCTGCACAAGCATAACGGGAAACATGTTTGGTCAACTTCCCAGGACCAGGTCCGAATTGGGCCATGCCCTGGCTAAAGGCCTCGGTATCAAAGTTGCATACAGAGATCCTCTGGGGGCTACTGGTGAACCCGTCACAAGAGGAGAATCCACATTCTCTATGGGCACTGTCGACACATATTCATACAACGAGCCCGAGCCCACAAGTGTCGACTGGATTCGCGAGATCACCCCTTCCGGAGCCCAAGTCGGCAGATACTTCCTCAATCTGTTCCCTTTCCTCACATGGATTGGCAACTACAACCTACAATGGCTCTTCGGTGACCTGGTTGCCGGTATTACCGTCGGTGCCGTCGTGGTGCCACAAGGTATGGCCTACGCTAACCTGGCTGGACTGGAGGTGCAGTATGGCTTGTACTCTTCGTTTATGGGAGTCTTGATCTATTGGTTCTTTGCTACGTCCAAGGATATCACTATTGGAGTGAGTGATACTGCGACCGGTCGAAACAAAAAAATAACCTTACTGACCTCATCTCATAGCCCGTGGCTGTCATGTCAACTTTGACCGGAACAATCGTGGCCGATGTCCAGGATCAATATCCAGATTACCCTGCTCACTTGATTGCATCCGCTCTGGCTGTCATTTGCGGTGGTATTGTTTTCGTGATGGGTCTCTTGCGTATCGGATTCATTGTCGACTTTATCCCTCTCCCTGCTATTTCAGCTTTCATGACTGGCTCCGCTCTGAGCATTTGCTCAGGACAGGTTCCCACCATGTTGGGCGAGACCGCCAAATTCAGCACGCGTGGTGCCACCTACGAGATCATTATCAACACCCTCAAATACCTCCCCACTTCGACATTGGATGCTGCTATGGGTGTCACTGCCTGTGCAATGCTGTACATGATCCGTTCAGGATGCACCTTCGCTGCAAAGAAGCAGCCTGCTAAGGCCAAGGTTTGGTTCTTTATCTCCACCCTTCGGACCGTGTTTGTGATCTTGTTCTACACTATGATTAGTGCGGCCGTGAACTTGCATCGAAGGGATAATCCGGCATTCAAGATCCTCGGGACAGTTCCTCGAGGATTCCAACAGGCTGCCGTACCCACTATGGAGCCTAAGATCATTTCAGCCTTCGTTGGCCAACTTCCAGCCGCGGTTATCGTTCTGCTGATTGAGCACATTGCCATTTCCAAGTCCTTCGGTCGTGTCAATAACTACACTATCGATCCTTCTCAGGAATTTGTGGCCATTGGCGTGAGTAACCTTCTTGGGCCTTTCCTCGGTGGCTACCCTGCCACTGGATCTTTCTCTCGAACAGCCATCAAGTCTAAGGCTGGAGTACGCACACCCCTTGCTGGTGTCATCACCGCGATCGTGGTGCTCCTGGCTATCTATGCCCTACCCGCTGTCTTCTTCTACATCCCCAAGGCTTCTCTGGCTGGTATCATCATCCACGCTGTCGGCGATCTGATCACTCCCCCCAACACCGTTTATCAGTTCTGGCGTGTGTCTCCGCTTGATGCGATCATTTTCTTCATTGGTGTCTTGGTCACTGTCTTCAGTTCCATTGAAAATGGTATCTACTGCACAGTCTGTGTGTCAGTTGCCGTCCTGCTTTTCCGTGTGGCCAAGGCCCGCGGTCAGTTCCTGGGCCGTGTCACTATCCACTCTGTTGTCGGAGACCACCTGTTGGATGGCGATGGAAAGTATGGGTCGTTTGGGACTAACAAGACTCCCTCCGATGACGAGGAACGCCATCACCGAACCATCTTCCTCCCCATCAACCACACTGATGGCTCCAACCCCGATATTGAAGTAGAGCAGCCCCTTCCTGGTATCTTCATCTACCGCTTTTCCGAGGGCTTCAACTACCCCAACGCCAACCACTATACCGATGCCCTGGTCGAAGCCATCTTCAAGCAGACCCGCCGAACGAATCCAAACGCCTACAACAGGCCCGGTGACCGTCCTTGGAATGATGCTGGTGCCCGCCGCGGCAAGAAGGGCGGCGATAACGACTCCCACTTGCCCCTTCTTCAAGCCGTTATTCTGGACTTTTCATCCGTGAACAATGTCGACGTAACCTCAATCCAGAACCTGATCGATGTACGCAACCAGCTGGATTTGTACGCCTCTCCCCGCACCGTGCAATGGCACTTCGCGCACATCAACAACCGCTGGACAAAGCGCGGCCTGGCTGCCGCAGGCTTCGGTTACCCAACACCCGTCGCAAGTGACGGTTTCCACCGGTGGAAGCCCATTTTCAGCGTGGCCGAGATCGAGGGCGCTGCCTCAGCCGCCGCCCACGCTGAAATCATCGCCAACCAGCGTGAGCAGTCCCACCGCAAGAGCGCGGATATCGAATCCGGCTTTAAGTCCGAATCCAACACCACCGCCCGCGAGACCGAGGGCGTTGAGACCGCCTCCGAGAATTCAGAGGTCATCCGCGAGGACAAGTTCCAGCGCGATATCACGGACAGCAAGGCGTACCAGAGCCGTCGTAAGGTTGCGCTCGTGCAGGGCATGAACCGGCCTTTCTTCCACATCGATTTGACCAGCGCTCTTCAAAGTGCCGTTGCCAATTCCTCGGAAGAGATTCCACACATTGGTTGATTCTTTAGTTTTTTTGCGTTCCATTTGTTTGGTTTGCACTGCATTCTCCTGCTTGCTATCTCTCTGCATGGATCAGTTGTTTCTCCCTGGCTTGGAGTCTGATTTGATATACCCCCGATTATGATTTGTTAATACCATGTTTGGCCTCGGCATGTTTTTATTTTCACATTTTCACCTCCCTATACTTTTGTCACTTTGCACTGTCTATGTCTATATTGGATGAGATTTCTATGGCACTGATCATGGAAATCGTGTGGTATTCTTCTTGGTCCTATCCCCGTGGTTTGCGTGGGTTGTTTTGTTTGGTCTGGGTCTGGTTTATTGGCCCTTTCGGATCTGGGAAGAAACGGATTGGAATGGAATTTGCTCCTTGCTCTCATGTGGAGATACATACCCCTTTTGATTATATTGCTATCCCCGGTAGACTCCAATTCATTCGTTATGATTTAAACCTGGTCCTTTATCTACAACCTTACGAGCTTCAACCTCAAACGTCCAACCCGAGATCGGAGGATGCAGATATCTGATTGATCATCCACCGCGCTCCACGCCCTATCATTGACCAGCTCCACTTCTGCCGAGTCTAACCGCACCACATTCAACGCTTTAAAGCACAAATCTACTTTCTACTTCGGCTTTGGTATGAATATTTCCACTCAAGAGCTTAAAGCTTTGATATTCTATAAATACCATATGTAATTGGCATTGGCAGGGGAAGTCTCCGAGCTTATATAAAATAATAAAATGATGAGTCAAGATGATTTCCTATTCCAACCTAGCGCCTTCCGCGAACATCTACATAAATTTCACATCTTTATCTTCTAAACTAGGTGGATCCATATCATTCCCTTATTAAACTGAGATATCTCGGGCCCCCGTCTCTTCTTCCTTCTTGCCCAAGGAAAAAGAGACACCAAAATGTCCAACCCCCAATCAACAACCACGGGTATCTCCCTCCAAAACCTGACCACAACAAACCTAGAAGAAAGACCCGTCCGAGGAAACCAAAATGACCTCTCAACACCCCCTTCCGAAACAGACATAATGCAACAATCCCTGATAGCAGACTCCCAGGTCCCCGACGGCGGCGAAGCCTGGGTCGTCATATCAGGTTGCGCTGTCGTAACATGGTGGTTCATCGGAACATCCTACTGCTGGGGCATTCTCCAAGCCGCCCTCGTAAAAGAAGGCGTATCATCATCGTCAACACTGGCATTCGTCGGTTCCCTCGCAACAGCATGTATCTCTTTCCTGGGTATTCTGAATGCACGCATTATCCGCAAACTCGGGACGCGCATGTCTGCTCTGGCCGGTGTGTTTTTCTTGGGTCTTGGGGAGGTGCTGAGTGGTTTCTCTGCTATGAATATTGGGGGGGTTATTTGCTACTGCTGGGATTGTTATGGGCATTGGTATTAGGTGAGCATTGAATCTGGAACTTGTTTCTATGTATAGATCGTATCTGTGGATGCTGGCTATATACCAGAACCCGAGACTGAAGGGTTTCCTACACTGATATTGTTACCGTCACTGACCAGCACTACTAGTCTCTGTTTTATGGTCGTCTCCGTCACACCGGCGCAGTATTTCCGGGCAAAGCGCGGAATTGCAAATGGTATCGTCTATGCAGCGGGTGGACTTGGTGGTGCTGTGATTAGTTTCGTGATGAATGCGCTGCTCGAGCGTGTGGGCGTGCAGTGGACGTTCCGGATTATCGGGTTCGCTACTTGGGGTACCGGCTTGCCGGCTGCGTATTTGATCAAGCAGCGGATTCCAATTCCGCCTTCGGCTGTTGTGGATTGGTACGTTCTCTGCCACATTATTCCATCACTCTATTGCTTTCTCGTTTTGATATGCTGCATTGTCAGTCGCCAAACTAACACCCCCTACAGGCGTCTATTCCGTGATATCCGCTTCGTGCTCCTCTTCGCAATGGGTGCAATCGCCACATTTCCCCTCCTAGTCCCACCCTTCTTCTTGCCTCTCTTCACAGCTTCGCTGGGAATGTCGTCCGGCACGGGAGCGGGTATCGTGGCAGCATTCAATTTCTCATCTGCGCTGGGAAGATTGCTTTGCGGACTCTGCAGTGATCTCGTTGGGCCGCTGAATACGCTATTTATTTCTCTTCTGCTAAGCGCGCTGAGCATGCTGATTATCTGGCCTATCTCGACTTCGCTGGGGCCATTGATCGTCTTTGTCATTGTCAATGGTATGGCTAATGGGGGCTTCTTTTCAACTATGCCTACGGTCGTTGGGAATACTTTTGGCTCGGCCAGGGTATCTGTTGTTATGGGGATGGTTGTGACGGGCTGGGCTGGGGGTTATTTACTTGTAAGTTGACTTACTTCAGTGCTTTTATGGAGTTATATGCGATTTTGAAATACTGACTAGGAATCTAGGGCGCCCCCATCGCTGGGTTTATCCTCAATGCAGCTGGCGGAGAAAACAAGGGGATTACCGGCTATCGCCCGGCTATTGTCTACGCTGGTGCTATGGCTCTTGTTGCTTCTCTTATTGGGCTTTCTATTCGGCTGAAGACTGATAAAAAACTGCTCAAGAAGCTCTAGGCAAACCCAATATTCTGTATATCCGTATATTCCACATAGAACAATAGAATTCAAGTATATCAAACAAATTAAAACAAAATAGAAGAATCAAGAAAAAGGGCGACAACAAGCGAGGTATATAGATGGCCGAGGTTAAAGACCTAAGTACTGCGAAGTACGCCGCATCCACCAGAACGTCATTCTTTTCTTCACCTCATATATAGCTCTCATTTCCCTCCAGATATCTATAAGCTATAAGCTATTCAATAATTCAACAAAATGACTATGAAAGCAGTCAACTGCCTAAGAGGCCCTGCACAGTACCTCAGAACCCTGGCCATTCCTGCACGTCAATCACCAATCAAATCATGCATCGCGCAATATAGCTCCCACTCACCAATGGGCTCGACAACCACCAACACACGCAAAAATGTAACAATCCAAACAATTCAAAACCTCTACAAAAAGAACGAACCTATTACAGTCCTCACAGCATCCGATTTCCCTAGCGGCCATGTAGCCGACACAGCCGGTATGGAAATCGTGCTGGTAGGCGACAGCCTCGCAATGGTCGCAATGGGCATGGAAGATACAAACGAAGTAACAATGGATGAGATGCTCCTCCACTGCCGCAGTGTAAAGCGCGCCGTCAAGAGCGCCTTCACTGTAAGTATACCCACACATCTCGTCCCATCCCAATACATACTACCCACCCCCACCAAAAAGCATCATCTCACAACCACAATAGATCGCAGACCTACCCATGGGCTCATACGAAACCAATCCCGAACAAGCCCTAACATCCGCCATCCGGATGGTAAAAGAAGGCGGTATGAAGGGCGTGAAACTCGAAGGCGGAGCCGAAATGGCATCTACCATCCGCAAGATCTCTCAAGCCGGAATCCCCGTCATGGCGCACATCGGACTAACGCCACAGCGACAGCACTCGCTCGGCGGGTTCCGCGTGCAGGGTAAGTCTGCTGCGGGCGCTGTGAAGCTTCTGCGGGATGCGCTTGCTGTTCAGAAGGCGGGTGCTTGTATGGTTCTTATTGAGGCTGTGCCGCCTGAGATTGCGGAGATTGTGACGCGACGGCTGAGCGTGCCGACTATTGGGATTGGGTCTGGGAATGGATGTTCTGGACAGGTGCTTGTGCAGGTTGATATGTTGGGGAATTTCCCTGAGGGGAGGTTTTTGCCGAAGTTTGTTAAGACTTATGCGGATGTTTGGGGGAGGCGAGGAGGGGGATTGAGGCTTATAGGGAGGAGGTTAAGAGTAGGGCTTTTCCTTCGCCGGAGTATACTTATTCGGTTTCTAAGGAGGTGGTGGAGGAGTTTGAGAAGGTTGTTGATGAGGTTGTGGCGGCGGAGGAATAAGTCAACAGGTCTTGGGAATGTAATGTAGATGGCTATTTTCGACTGTTGAGCTGCTTTTGGATAAAATCTGTATATAGCGCTAGGTCTTGATCTCTGTCTACCGGGCGATGGCAATGTACGTGTTCTAAGTGAGATGCTTTAGAATATAGCAAGACCGGAAAAGAAACACCCCAAGTATCAATTCGAAGGATGTAATAATTCAATTCGTACAAAGCATTTACAATCCCCCCAAACACATCCAAGCAAACCCACCCCCAGCTTTTAAATAGAATCCAAGATCCCACCAGCCGGTACTCTCTTCACCTCAAAACACCTCCAACACCAGCCCACCCAAGAACAAACCCACTCAGCGCCTCACTCATCACACCACCACCAAACCAAACATCTCTCCAAGCACCCTTGCGGAGGATCTTCTTCGTTCCAGCCTTCCCGCCAAGCTGCATGCGCACAGCCTTGCTCTTCTTATCCATCTCCAGAACACCCTCGATCTCGCCAGCGTTGCTACCAGGGAAGAAAGACCCGGCACCTGCGCCGCCGGAGCGGTGGATCAGAACCGCATGGAAAAGCCCTGACACTAGGATCGTGCCGAGGAAGTAGAAGGCGAAGCCGTAGGTTGATTGGAGGGCTAGGATTCCGGCGGACAGGCCGAGGAGGAAGGATGTTAGGCTGTGGAGGGAGGATAGGACCTGTTTTTTCCTCGTTAGGTTTGTGGTATGTAGAAGAGAGGCGCGGATAGGGAGTTGGTATTGGTGTAGGGAATGTGGATGTGATGTGGGATAGGGGTGGTAAGCCGGGATGTGGGATGTGGGAAAGCCATACGCGGTTGTTGTGCTGGACAGCCTCAGGTACTAGAGGCGTGATTAGCAGGGAGAGTTCCTGCTTTGTTGGTGCCATTTTAGCACTGATTTGTTGTAGTTGGTGTTTGGTTCGAGAGGTCGAGCTATGGCTCTCGGTGTTCGTTGGTAGTGATCACGTCTCAAGCGGAGGTTTGCTGGGCTTGACCAGGATTGCAAGTCTAGTGCTATTCAATGACGATGAAATTGTTGCACCAGGAGAAGTTTTTGTGGAGAGTCGACACAGCAGCTTTCGGCTTGAACAGATGGAGGTCGGAGGTGGCAGCGAGTTTCTAGAAGTGCACGGGCCACATGGGATTTCACCTAAAATGGTTTCCTTATGCTTCGGACTGATCTTACACTAATTCAAGAGCACAACACCACCGGGCAGAGTGTTTAACGTAAATCAAATCAATCATGTTCATATCTACTATTAACCCGAATCCAATGTTCAATAATCCCGAGCCTTTCTCATAATCCGTTCACATCACAGCGTTTGATACATTTCAAATCCCCATGTTTTTGATTATGCTGCAAACATAGCAGAAAGAAGATGCCAGTTCCATGATATCGCTGGCTTTAAATTCAAATGTCACATTAAACCAGATTTTCGAATTTGCCATCAACACGGGCCTCCTTGACCTGCTCAAAGACCTGATGGAGATGTTAGTGGATGATTGAGATTGTGTAGGAAGGAAAGCTTACCTTTAGCATTTTGTTGCGTGCACCCAAGGCATTGACACCGCGGTCTTCCAGGGCTTTGTCATCCAGGTCAACCAGTTCCGTCCACTGGAGGTCCTTCAAGTTGTCGGTGTACTTGTGCAGCCTGAGGGATCGCAGCCAGCTGGGGATATCCTTCAGAAGAGCCGGGTCTGTGGGGTCCTCAGGCGGCTTCGAGCTGCCACGGCGACCCCGCGGAGAGCGGCCTCGTGTAACCTCTGAATGGTCTGACAGGTAGCCTTCACTACCCAGACCAAACTGTCCAATGTTCAACGAACCCAACCCGTTGCCCATAAGAGGGTTATTGGGATCGTATGCGGCCAGGAACCCATTGTTCTGCGGTGAGGTGAAGCCCATAGGGGTCAAGCCACCACCGTGCATAGCAATACCGGGCGATGTTGGGCGAGACCGTCTACCGGCCATAGCTGCCTGTTGCTGAGCCTGCAGAGCCGCCAGCTGCTGAGTATTCAGAAGCTGACCGGCAACCAAGTGCTGTCCACCCAGGCCTGGGCTAGCCAAGCCCTGGGAGAGCATCGGGTTTCCATGCGAGTTCTTGCCCTGGCCATCATTCGAGCGAGCACGGCGGTACTTGCGCGCGTCATCCAGAGCAATGCGGTTGTTCACTGTCGACAAAGCTGCCAGCTTCATTGCCGTGGCGTTGGCCACCATATCCGCATGGGTGTTAGGGTTCTGGTGCGATTGTTGACCGAAAGTCGCAGTCATCGGGGTATTGGTCATAGACGCCCAGCTGTGATTGCCGACGTTGTACGGCGAAAGCAGGGGAGGCTCAATGTCAGGAGCAGGAATATTGGCAGTCTGGGGGAGAGGCGAGCGCATGCCAGAAGGCTGGCTGAACTGGCCCATAGGCTGGTGTCCGGAGGATGACTTAGGCCGAGCGATCGGAGGCTGCGTGTCCGAAACACCACGTTGAGCCCATGGAGAGCCAGGCTGTTGACCCAGGCCGTCCGAATTGTTATCAGGCGCCGAGATAGTGGGGGCCACGAAAGAGGCACGATCGAAAACTGCGCTATTGCGGTTTGACGGAGGTGCGTTCCCAGTTTGCTGGGTAAATTCAGCCTTCTTCTTCGCAATGGCCGCAGCAGCATCCGGGAACATTGCATTTATAGTAGAAGGGTCGAGGACGGAGTTGCGCTTCGCACCAGGGGATGGCGGGGGTCGTCCGAGGGAGTTCCGAGAGGAGGTGTCCATGTTAAGCTTTGACATGGCATCGCTTAGACGGCTGGACATAGCATCTATACGATGAAAAGTAGGTTAGTTTCATCCCAAGCATAATGTGGATAATTTGGCATACCCTTTTCGCCAAAGTTGGCAGGGGAGAGCAGGCCGGACATCGGGTGGCCCTGGGACATTTGCTGCAAAACCTGGATGAAAAACCGGATCTGCAGATGAGTAGTCTGCTGCAGCAAGGCATATAGGGCTGCAGTTCTCTCAGCTTCGCTCAGAACACGGAACCACTGCTCGATGGCACTGAGTTCATCCTTAAAGTCCTGATCAAGTGTGGCAGCTGCCATTTCTTCCAGTGTAATTTCGTACTGATCAATATCCGCAAGCCATTGCTGAGCGGCACGGTCCAAAGCATCTTCTGTCGCATTCTGACCTTGGGTTTGTTGATTGAAAAAGACTTCCGATGATGGGCGGATGCTTCGGGCGGACAGCGGCGAAGGAAACCCGGACATGTCTGCCGACGCCCGCAGCTGGTGCGATCCGAGGTTTCGCGATGAGGATGGAGGACGGAGAGATGAATTCGAGGCTTCAGGGGTGCTGTTGCGATTGCCAATGATATGACTGGCCATGGTTTCGGCGACGTGTTGAGAGGATGACTAGTAAATACAGTGGGGGAAATGATTACTGCAAAACACCTGCAGCACCTGCTGAGTTTGCGTGAAAAATAGAATCAAAAAAATCCTTGGAATCTGAATCCAGGCCAAGATCCTAAGGTATCAGATGATGCTGAATAGATCCAGATCTCATTCACGATGGCACAGACCAGTCCAGTGGGCTGCACCTCGGAAATTTGAGATAGAAAAATTAAAGCCTGGAACGAAAGGAAATTGAGACTTGAAGCAATAGTGTGTCAAACACAGTCAAGCCACGTAGTCCCAAAGAAAGAGGAAAAGGAAAGAAAGGGGGGGAGAGAGAAGAGGTTAGGTGAAGGGAGAGAGAGAGAGGAGAGGAGAGGAAAAGTTGGGGATCGAAGTTTGGTGGAAGAGGCTTTTCTGTTTCAGGCCGCGAGATCACGGGTTTACCGAGAGACCTCACAACATTCTTTCTTGACTTCTCCATATCTCTGCTTTTTAGTCTTTCTTCTTCTTTTTTCTTTTTCTTGTTGTGCTCTTGGTCAAATTCTGAATATTTCCTCAGCCTGGTGGAGACAGTTACTATGAATATCTGCCGAGCCCGGACCTGAAACGTTTTTAGAGTGCACTCGAACTATACTGGATTGATAATGAACTCCCTCGGTTGATCCACATTTCTGATGATTGTTTCAAGCTAAAGCTTTCATCGACAGTGAAAACCATTTTCGATTAAATCAGTGGTCATGAGTTCCCAGCATTACCCGGATGGGGTTCCTCTAGATGAGGAAATGCAAGAGGGCGAGTCGGCATATCCAGATATCGATGAAACTGCTCACTATCCATGGCAAAATGATCAATCTTTTGACGTTGGGAGCATGCTTGCCTCGGTACTTGATCCACGTTTGTTTGGGGACCAACCCCCACAAACCCAACCCCAAAGCATCAATCAATATCAAGCTCCCAATGAAGACCTAGGCGAACTCGAAGAGCAAGAGGTTGATGACCTCTATTCGGATGAATACGACAGCCAGGGCTATCCTCCAGCAGCGTATCCTCCCGTGCCTGGCGATGGTGACGCGTCAGATGAGGACTTTGCCTTATCCGGAGAGGAAAGCGAGAGGTAACTATGCCGAGACACTGCCTGTCGAACTCTAGTTAACACAACTCTAGTGAGTCCGAGGAAGACGAACTAGCAGAGGATGATGACGATGATCGTTCAGCCGCCAGCAGGCGCCGCCGTCGTGGAGGCGGACGCTTTTCTGGAAGATACGGCGCTCGCGGTGGAAAAGGCATCAAAAGAGGACCACGCAAACCGCTGGAGCCCAGTCTGGAATTCAAACATCTTCATTCGGGGGCCACCTCTGCCTTCATTGATGGAGACTACGAACTGGCCGTTGATCTTGTGATGCAGGCGATTCAGATTAATCCTGAGATGTTTGCTGCCCATTCTTTGCTCTCGGAAATCTTCCTCGCACAAGGTGAAAATGACAAAGCCCTGGCAGCTCTATTCAATGGAGCTCATACGAGACCGAAAGATCCCGGTGTCTGGGTCAAAGTCGCCCGGCTCATTTTGGATCGCGCTGGGGAGAATCGGCAGTCCGCGTTGCATGATGTTGCTTATTGTTACAGTCGTATCCTCGAGGTCAGCCCCGGCAACACCGACATTCGTTTCCAGAGAGCAGCGATCTATCGTGAACTAGGTCACAATGGCCGAGCCGCAGCTGAGTATGAGAGACTACTCAAAGACTGTCCACACAGTGCCAGAGCACTGCGCCATCTTGCAGAGACGTACATTGATCTCAATGACGTGCAGAAAGCAGCAGATTACTATGCAGATAGCATTGGTCACTATTTATCTCTTGACCCCGAAGCCTCTGATTTCACCTGGTCGGATCTCAATATCTATGTCGAGCTTTTTGGCTATCTCAACCAACCCGAAGAAGGACTCATCTCTTTAAAAGTACTTGCACGTTGGCTGCTAGGTCGCGGAAAAGACACTTCGTGGGATAACATCGACGATGACGATAGAGAATGGGATGCCGATGATTCGCCTCGACGTATCAAAACTGATGGCTTTCTGCCCGGTCAGTGGCCTCGAGAGTCATATGGGCTTGGTCTTCCGCTGGAGCTTCGGATAAAACTGGGTGTTTTCCGCCTGAAAATGGGTGACAAGCATCACAGCGAGGCATTGGTGAGTTGATCCCAGATAACGATAATCATTGGATAAAAGTACTGACCAAATACAAACAGCATCACTTTGAATGGCTTAACCCAGAAGATGATTCCGAAGGTGCTCGGATTTTCGACTATGGTGACCTATTCAGGGAAGTGGCAGATGCTTTAAAACAAGCCGGTGTCTTGGAGGAAGCACTCCGATACTATACGCCCATCCAGCAGACCGCTGAACATGCTGATATCGGCTTCTTCATGGCCATGGCTGATTGCTGCATGCAGCTGGGCAAGATGGAAGATGCCGAAAGCTGTTACCTACTCGTCGCTGAACACGATGCTAGTCATATGGAGTCGCGAGTACTACTGGCGAAGCTATATGAGAGCCTCGGGATGAGCGAACAGGCTATGAAGTATGTCAGTGAGGCTGTCTTGATCGGTCGGCAGGAACATCGCAGCCGGGGAAGAAGAAAGGACACGAGACTTGAACAACTTGCCATAGAGTTCAAGATGGCCGGGTCAGAACCCCTCCGACCAATTGCGCCCAAACCGACACAGGCAGCACTTATGAATTCAGCTCCTTCGGCCCCTGGCAAAGGACGGGCGCAACCTGGCGAAGGTACTCGGACTGATGATATTCAATTCTTGTATGGGAAGTTGTTGGAGTTGAATCCCCAAGTTAAAGATGGTGTCCCTGTAGCCATTGAAGACTGGCTGGACATTGCCGATGCTCTTTTGCGAGATTTCAAGAATAATCGGGCATTCTATCCGATGGATCGAAGTATTGCCTTCAGGGGATATTCGACTGGTAAATCCAAGGACCAGACCAAAAACGGTACAATGATGGATGAAATGCAGCGAATGGCGGGCCGTCTTCAGGAAACCATGGGTATGCCATTTCGGTCGATACATCCATACACACCATGCTAATTTTGTATTTAGGAGATGTCACGGAGGAGCCCTTGCAGGGCGCCATTCCCACCGACTACCATGGAATACCATTTGATGAGTGGCTCGACATCTTCCTCGAGTACGCTCTACTTGTAACAGAACAAGGCGAGCCAGAAGAAGCTTATGAAACGCTTGATTCTGCAGCGATTGCAAGTATCTGGTTACACTCGAAGCCTAAGTCGCGATTGATTCATGTCTGCTGGTTCAGTGAGTTCATTCGACTCCCTACGAAGTGATTATCTACTGACACATTTGTAGCATGTGCTCTGCGCGCACGAGATGAAGAGACACTGGCCAATGAAGCTCGCTGGTTTATTAAAGAGTACCAGTTTGTCACCGACACCTATCGACTTTTCTCTATGCTTGGCCACCTATGTGGTGACCCTCACCGATCCCTTTTCCATTCCTCCGGAAACATGAAGTTCATGCTTCGCCAAATCAAGGCGATGGACTTTACGATACCACATGATACCCCTCGACCCATCCGACACTCTGTCTGGAAAGAGCGCGCCACTCTATCCACACGGGACGAAGCCGGTGAACCCATCACCGCAAAAGAGTTAGACATTGCTCTTCTTGTGCTCTATGGCCACATGCTGTACTCTGGAAACAGTTTCTATCCCGCTTTGAACTATTTCTTCCGAGCATATGCCCTAGACGACCAAAACCCAGCGGTTCTCCTCTCAATCGCGCTCTCATTCATCCACCACTCTCTCAAACGACAATCGGAGAATCGTCACTACCTCATCATGCAAGGATTGTCTTTCATGCATGAATACCGACTGGTTCGGGAGAAGCCGGGAACTCTCCTAGCCGAAAAACAAGAGATGGAATTCAACTTCGCTCGTGTCTACCACTCGCTTGGTCTGGCTCACCTTGCCATCGAAGGGTACGATCGAGTGTTGAAGCTCGGCGAACAGATTCAACAACAGGCCAAGGAAAAGTCACTTGAAGAACCAACATCTACAGCAGATGGTGCCGATGTGGTTATGGGCGATGATGGCCAACCCCATCTCACTAGTCAGTCTTTCGTTGAGGATTTTTCCCGCGAGGCTGCTTATGCGCTGCAGTGTATTCACGTTCTCAGTGGCAATGCAAAGACGGCAAAGGCGGTCACAGAAAAGTGGCTTGTGATCTGATATCAGTTGCTTCTACGACGGTGGCCTGTTTTCCTGACCATCTCTTGTAAAACTCATGCGCCTTCGCTCTGTAATATGTACTATATGTGTCAATCTACAAGAAATTTCAGACAAGCCTTTATATGTATCAAGATAGGGTAAAGTTGACAGCGGATCTGCCCGACCAGAATGTGGGGGCCGAGTGCGGAATTGCGGTTACATTGGGATTCTTGATAATCAACATATCACGCCTTCGAATATATATATACTCCTTATTACTTCGTCTTATCATTGGCTCAGCAATGCCGAGTGTGCAGAGGGGATCATTTTTTTCGAGCCATCTCGGCCCAATCTCGCATAAAAACCCCCAAACCTAATGCTTATGTATTGCGGCCTCGTTGATGTCATTGAGTCGATGAAATAAAGAAGGACATACAGCCAAGAACTCAGGCCATAGCAAATGACTGCAGAAAGCACTGAAAGGGTGGGAAGCCATTCCAGCTCTCAAATCGAAGGTCCTACAGAACTATTGCCAATCACCTCGGCACACTCCAATTCCCCTACAATCCAGGAGTTAGAGGAAGACGAAAAAGGCCAGGATACCAATGTTCAAAGCACGACAGAGGAGCCAATAGGGAAACGCAATTATTGGAGACGCTTTGTCGATATCGTTTCATGGACACCGCCGCGATGTCGATGGAATACCGAGAACCCGAGCAAATTCGGTTTGCCTCTGAACCTCCTGTTCGCATGCTCAGGGACCTTCACGGTATGGCATGGAAAAACATCGAAAGATACCATGGTAATCGCTAAGATCGTTGTACAGGTTGCCAATCTATACTATTCACATCCCATTCTTGATGTTCTCGCTCAATTCTTCAACGTCTCGCATGAGCGAGTATCATTGATCCCAACCTGCAGTCAGGCTGGATATGCGACGGGATTAATCCTTCTTTGTCCTCTAGGGGACTTAGTTCGCAGAAGGCACTTCGTTCTACTAATGACGCTTATCACTGCAGTATTGTGGATTGGTATCTGTATCACCAACTCATTCGAGGCATTTCTTGTTTTAAGCTATCTGTCTTCGGTCACGACTGTTACTCCAGTAAGTATTTCAGGCAAGCAACCGTGCATATTCGAGGGCCTGATCTGGAAAAAAAAAAAGCTTATCATCTATACAGCAAATCATGCTCCCTCTCGTCGGAGATCTCGTCCCCCCAGCCCGTCGCGCAACAGCCCTATCAATCGTGTCTTCGGGGCTCGTTCTGGGCCTTCTATTTGCCCGCCTGCTCTCAGGTATAGTCGCAGAGTACTCAAGCTGGCGAAACATCTATTGGCTATCCCTTGCCCTCCAATTTCTCATTTTCGCCCTTCTATGGCTATTCATGCCCGACTACCCATCAACAAATACCGACATCTCCTACTTCAAAATCTTATACTCCATCATCGGATACTACTGGACATCCCCGGTGCTTGTCCAGGCAACTCTCATGGGATTCTTTCTCTCGGCCACTTTCACCAGTTTCTGGACAACCCTCACATTCCTTTTATCGGGCGATCCCTACAACTACCCAACCCTGACAATTGGACTATTTGCTCTGGCAGGCCTCACACCCATGTTCCTGGGCCCACTCTACTCACGCTACATGATTGATAAATTCGTACCGCAATTCTCCATTCTCGTCAGTCTCGGCATTCTGATCACCGGCGTCAGCATCGGTACATATATCGGCAAATTTAGTGTCGCGGGTCCGATTATCCAAGCTGCGCTGCAGGATTTCGGTCTGCAGATGACGCAAATTGCCAATCGCGTCTCGATTTACAGTGTTGCACCCAAGGCGCGGAATCGCATCAACACGGGATACATGATGGGCGTGTTCTGCGGTCAGCTCATGGGTACTTCTGTTGGGAATCGTCTCTACAGCCAAGGAGGATGGATTTTGTCGGGAAGTGTCGATCTGGCGTTTATTGGAGCGGCATTGCTTATTTGTCTTCTTCGTGGTCCGGCTGAGAAGGGTTGGATTGGATGGCATGGTGGCATTCGCATCCGAAGAACGGATGCTTGAGTTTATAGTTTGCTACAGGGAAATGGCATTTGGTGATGTGCTTTGTGCTATGGGATATATATAGGACATCAAAAGTAACGAGCCCTTTCTACGGTAGACCATATTAATCTGAAACTTAATGATTACAGCAGGCTTTTAGAGAATCACGGTAACCATGTAGTTGAATAGATGGAGGCAGCCTTTTGAGTTTGCCTCGAACATACACTCCAACCTGTCACCAGCTTGGGGCTGCTTCTCTTACCTTTCAGAATTCCAAGACGACTCCGATGGGTGCTTTTCTATATTGATGTACGATGACGTTCACCAGCCCAGTTCTCAATTTGGGGCGTGTAGACTAATTCAACATCATTGCATTAAGAGCGAGTCTTTGCAGAGCTATGATCTAAGGATAAAAGGTCTCACATAAATCTCTCAAACAAGTCTGTAGGTAAACATGACCTACTATGTATGTACATATGTAGATATGGTCAACCTCGCTGTTATTTAACAACACCCACCACACCTTTCGACTACAAGAAGGAATACAAACCGAGTAAATAAAAAAAAGACCAATGGAAGATTCAATCTTCTATAAATTTGTAGCCGAAAAAAAGAATGCATCAGGAGGGAATCGAACCCCCCTCGCCAGTTAACTGGATCAGGAATTTCCTAATCTGGAAGACTAGCATCATAACCACTAGACCACTGATGCTGTGGATACATTGATAACTGAATCCATACGATAGATGAATAGCATAAAATTGAATCATGGACCATTTCGAAATGGTGTGAGCTTAATATAACAAGAGTAGACGGCCGCTTATGCGGCCTTATGATATCTATCTCGTAGCGCTTTTCAGCGGTCTTCTCAGATATCCTCAGATATCTTTGAGATCCTCTTCTAGTCTTGTACATAGACGGCAGAAAAAGGGGAAAGGGCATAATTTGTGCAAGCGGCTTTACTATGTAAAACTTTTGATTTTGTCCCTTCATTTATGACGCCATTTAGGTTCATACTGTATGTATATTAAGTTATATCTATATAATTGCGAAGAAAGTGCAAAAGCGGAAGGTGCATACATAAGTAGGTTTTAATATAAATGATCTAGTTACTTCGTGCGTCTGGATGACATATTACGAGAACTGAAAAAAGACAAACCCGTTATTGCAAGTAACTAGCGTGGGGTTGATCGGCCTGTAATTGCAATTTGAAAATAACTAAAGGGCTTTGGGTAAAACAAACAGCTAATCTGTTATATTTCTACCGAGAAACGGGTTCAAAGGCTGATGTCACTTTTGACACTCCCCCGCTCAGCCAAGCCCACTTCTAGCAGATGATATAGTCTTTGATATTTCATTGGCAGATGTACATGCCCACGTGAGGCTCTTTGATTAGAATATATCTTCAAACTTAAGTATTCGTACACTTGAAACTGTTTATACACACAAAGACACCTTGCTATGCTGATGAAGCGGGGAGCGGGAAAAAAAAAAAAAAAAAAAAAACAAAAAAAAGACAATAGACAAGGATAACGGTAGTATTATCCAAGAGTGTCCGCGAAGACTGGCAAGGGGCGCCTGTCATATTGAAGACCCAAGATAGCGGGACGGATAATGACGAAAGATAGGGCTGCAGCTGCCCCGAAGCAGAAAGACCCTAGTTTGACATATAGACCTTTCTGAAGCCGCTCGAGCCGCCTGTATTTTTCTCAGATGACCACGGCATCCTCATCCCGATAGTAGTCCGCATCGTCAAAGAAAACGGCGGTCTGGCGTCCTATTTCCTCGATCACGCTTCCCCGCCGGGTGCTTGGGGTCTGAGGACGTGACGAGCCGGTAGATTGGGACATGCTATCCGACAAGTCAACGAAGCGCGATTCGCTCCTGTAGTCGGACCCATCGCGCTCGGGGAGATTATCATCCAAACGCTCGACCATGGAATCTGGATTTTCGTTTTCTCGCTTGCGGAGTCGACGAGAGAGGATCGGAGAGAGTGCGCGTCCACCTGTCCTAGATTCTTGCAGTCCTTTCATGATCGCATTCTCGACCTTGAGTCGGTTTTGGATAAATTGAATTTTGGGGAAAGTGCTTTGTTGGCCGACATGTATCATGCGGGCGAGTCTTTCGGGGCTAGGATCAGAAAGAATGTGGATGAAATCGGAGGGAATGCTTTTTGGCCAAATAGTCACAGTGCCACTGAACTTTTGTAACCAGATCTCGCTCCAGTCTTGACCCATAGGTCGTGGGAGGAGCTCTAAATGCCGAAGAACTCGAAGCCATTTATTGAGGTCTAATTTGATATACTGCTCGATTGCAGTGCCGAGGAAGCCGCCACGCCAACCGCGGCCCTTGCGGTGTGTGACTGGTCGTCCCACTGTCCCCCTAGAACTAAAAAAGAAGAGGTTGATGTGAGGGTTGACCTGGGCGAATGTTAGTGGCAAAAGAGTAAGATTGGTGAGATTAATTTTACCTGGGATACGATCGTAAAGTTGACGTTGAAATGCAAGTTCAACGCTTTGATAGGTATGTCAGTCCGTAGGCTGCCATCCTTCCATTTGTGGCCAAACGAATAGGGAGCGAGAGTTCCATCGCGCTTTTTAGTCATTAATACAACAGGGTTTAAAATGCCCGGAACAGCCGCCGAAGCAAGCACGGCACTCCAGATGACACAATCGGGAGATGTCAAATAATTGGCTAGGATTGTCGGTGAATGAGGATCCGAGGGCACGCAGGTGACATTCAAAATGCGCCCGGTCCGCTCGTAAGCTTCGCGGAAGGTCGTTGAGCCTCTACAGAACCAGGCGCATTGCTGAGCCCAATCCAGAGTATCGAAGCGAGCACCAGTTCGCCACCAGCGCTGGATCCAAGTTGTTAGCCCTTCGTGGCACGCGCGAATCCGGTGTGCTAAAGCTGGGACGAGCAGCTGCTTCAGCTCATCATCCGTCCGAGTCGCGACTAGTCCCGCCACCAGTGCTCCGCCTGACGTGCCAGTTATGATTTCTGGGAGGACATCATTATCCAGCAGCGCCCTTACAACCCCGAAATGGTAGTAGGCAAATGTAGCTCCACCAGAAAGACAAAGAGCCGTACGGCCGAAGTTCGTATCGAGGTGTTTGAAAAGCTGATACTTGGCATCCTTATCAATCTGCTTATTGTTCAAAACAATCTGTATGCATGCGTGCACCTCGTCAATGTATTCCTGAACCAGGTCTTTTGTTCCCGAATAGGTCTCGCTGTATATCCGAGGATTTTCAACGCCGGCAAAATTGTTCTTGACGCAAGCCTCCAAAAGTGCTCGCAGATCTTCAATAGCAGGTACCTCGCTGGAGCCGACTCGACCATGTTCCATCTCCCATTCCGCATCCTTCCTCAGCTGCTTCAGCTGCGACACCACTTTGTTGACAGTGAGGTAGTCGTAGTAAGCGTATTCGTCTGTCTTTTTCCACTTTTCAGTTCCGAGGTGGACGTCCAGCGCCTGAGCTGCTTTTAACCAGTCTGGATAGTTTTTCTGTAGAGACAGCTCTTGACGCAGCCTTTCCCTCTTCCCCCGCCATGTCACCCACTGCTCATACAGTAATATATAGACACGAACCAGGGCATAGCCAAAGCTCAGTACTGCGAGCCACGCGAATACAATGAAGAGGAAGGGCCATTTCAAAACAGAATATAGCACACCTTCCCTCGTTTCGTCCTTGCTTCGCTTTGGTGTTTTGCGACGGCCACGACTCTTGCGAACTCTTTGATTGATCGGGCGCCAGTCGTTGATGGCCGTCAATGGGGAAGCTTCTGGGGCATTTAGCGCCTTCTCGAATCGGTCGAGTTCATCGGGCTGAATGAAGTCGCGGTCATAGTCAGGGAGACAGGCCGGATCGTAAGGGTCGTATACTGTAGGTTTCTTCTCAGTGGTCATGTTCAACACATTCTGAATACACCAACGAAGATGTTGAGAGTCATTGGGGTACTTTAGAATCCGGTTGGGGCAGCTACGTCGTACGATGACGTTAGCGTCACGTGTAGCTTATCTCCGCATTGCGGCTAGTGTACTTCTGAAAATAGCTAGCGTTGTTTTCTATTTGATGAGTCATCCAGATCTTGCCCCGCCAGATAAGAAATAAAAAACATCCCTCAACCATGGATGGCTCAGTAGCTAACCAGCAATTGACTCTTCAGTCCAGAACTTTGTTGTTTCTTGTAAAAATGAGGGAATTGTGTAGATCTACAAGAGGCAATCTATTTAGGATTGAAATTTGTCATGACAACGCAATTCACACCCTTGACATTCTTTGTATTGAGAGTGAATTAACTTCGAGAAACTATGACAGGCATCATCCCACTTTGTTATGCCGCGGCATTTTGAGTACGACAATGCCGCCGGCCGTGCGACGGCATGGAAAAAAAAAATTTCGTTGGAATGTACCCCTCCATGCACGACCTCCGGAGACAATTGACATCCCTTCATGCAATCTCTTATTCAATGGCTTGCTCAATTAGCGGGGTCATCGCGCTCGCCTCCCGAGGCCAAATGCGTGATTTCTTTTGTTCCGCCTCAAAGAATCATACTACAGCTCACCGCTACATGATGGGCGGCAAGAATATCAAGAAAGATGTCAGTGTCCTCCCGTGATTGGTAGGCGCCTCGGGGGAGTTGGTTTGTCGCAGCCGAATTGGAGGCCCAGGAAAGTCTCCTATGGGCTGGTGGCGGGGGTCAACTGTACTTTAGCCACATGCACAAGGTCCGGGAAGTGCTTTGTGCTCGCGGTATCGGACATTAACTACGGAGTACGGAGTAGTAGATCGGAACATCTGCTTTTGATATTATACGACCGGGGGCGTTTTTTTGGGTCACCTGATGTTCAAAACGACCCCTTAATCACATATCGAGGATGATTTGCAGCGAACTAAATACTCTTAGCGTCGTCACAGGCTGCAGGCTTTTTCCATATTTAGACTCATTAAGGAGATAACCCGGACGCTTTTTCCTTTTGGTCGTGTTCGTCTTCAACGCTGATCATGTTGATCAGCCTGCTAAATCCTTAAATGCCAATCTTGAAAAAAAGTAAACATGCTACTCTGTATACGGAGCACGCCTTCGCCTTCTATTGCTACTCCGTACTTTGCGATTTTACAACTCGCTCATACCAGCAGCTTTGAAACATCATTTTCGATATTCTTCGGCTTTTCTCCTAGTGCTACATAGTAAAATTAAATGTCCCGTGTTGCGCGGTAGCCGCTCAGTTTATTGTGTTGCTTTAGCCTTTTGTGACATCCCTGAACGTGCCGGGAGGGCCGACTTTAAGTGCGGATTCATGTCAAGGTTACCATGTTCCCTCCAATGCCCCGCTCTTTGAAGTCAAGGATGCCTTGGCAATTTCGCTATCTTCGAATTCGAGTTCGAATTATCATCCCTCATTTGGCCCTATGCAGATCATGGATCTTCTCTTTCGCGAAATATTGTGGCGTTGGGTCCCTGTGAGAAAGCTTTCCCCCGCTTACGAAGTTAACCCCAGTACTCCCCGAACGTGAGCGGCAAAAGCAAAAGAAAAAAAAATTCAGCGAGCCACATCCGGGCCTTGGCAAGGGAATGCGTCTGAAATGACCCGTCCCGCGTCTCACCCAATGAACAGGCTCAACATCTATGTATGTCCCATATCGCACTGCGCACTTGGCGGGGATCGTCCAAGGGTGGGGAAAAGTGTCCTCGGATCTCCGAGCCCGGGCAACGCCCGAAAGAATTCACCACAACTAGGGGCCAACTTGGCCTTTGTTTGATGCTGTTTACGTTAGGAGTATAACTCCGTAGATATGTATGTTGTACACCATTGTAGTATGTAGTGGGAAGGTAATGTAGATCGATTGACTGCACATCATGTGCCCCCTCCCCCTTGGTTATGTCAAAAGGCGTAATTTCCATGTGCTGGATTCCTGGGGGTTTGAGGGGGCATCGAGCCCTGATCGGCGAAAAGATAGGCGTCTTATGTTAATTTTACGAAGTACTTCTGGAAAGAACGGAGTCTATAAGTACGGGGTATACCTGCGCGCTATAGCACACACATCAATAACGGCAGGGATGCTGTGGACTCCTCGCATAAAAAGTGCACTGTCGTATGCAGCAAGGCTGGGATCTGAAGCTGAACCGAGCGTTTGCGGCGCATTTCCATAAATTCCTTGGTATGTTAGCTCTCAATATTTTGATCTAACTACACTTGTACCCCGCGCTCTGGGATCTGTTGCAGGGATAAAAAAATAAAATAAAAATTGCACATTGTATCTGCGTATAGAGTACGGAGTACAAAGTTCGACTGCATTTGCCCTTGATACTTAAAATGAAACGTTCGCAATATGATACAGGGCACAAAAGCACCGTTCAGGGCTGTCAACCCTGATATAGAGATAAAATACATAGATGAAGGGGTAACATCGAAATGGATTCACTGCCGCCCTTCTCCGTTCCAAGGTTCCTACAAGATCGAGGCGGTGTGATATCGGGTGAAATGGGACCAAAACTATATACACTTGGTGTCCATATTTATAGTCCCTTGATGTCATAAGAGTATATATCATGTATTTAAATAAAAAAAACATCAAACCCCCAGAGGAATGTCAGATGTCAGTGCGAGCTGACGGACTCGGACGATCTCAGATAGCGGAATAGCGAATTCTAGTTGGATGTCGCTGATTCGTGCTTTTTACGGGGATTCATCAAGGTATAACATCAACCAAGCCCTTTGTTGATGCTCATTCTCGCTGAATTTCTAAATGACTGCATCCACTAATTCCCTTTTAAGGAGGCAGACATCCTGCGAGCATGCAGATATCCTCCCATGCATGTGCGCCCCGCCAATCGTATGCCTCGTGCGATCATTCGCTTCCTTCTAAACCCTGATTTGATCGCATGCCCCTTCAGCGCCTACAGATGACCAACGACATATTCGGTAAGGGCACAGCGTGAGTCGTACTCCCGCGCTGAAGAGTCAGAGTGGACACATAAATATATGATACGGAGTACACAAGCCGATTAAAAAAAGTAGAAAAGCGGGCCAACAGAAGCACAGGGCAACTATCCAGCTCTCGGCATTCCCACCCGGTCTGCATCGTGGACTCAGGTTGCCTGCGTGTGGCTGCGTCGGAGATTGATCAACGCGCCGCCACCAAGATGATATTCCCAAGTTTCAACAGTTCCTAGGAGGGGGGTTTCAAATGCATGAATGGGATGTTAAAATTTTTTTTACTGTCGATCAAAGAGAGCCCCTCGGTACAGGACCCACCGATAGCATATGGTCTGAGTTTCCTTGCTCCACGATCGGCTCACAATGTTGACGCTATATGGAAATTCTATGGTTCAATCATGCAACAGGAATCAAACCATCACAGACCGATCTTCACTAACTATTGAGAAAATTTTCCATATCTCCTTATAGGGTAAAAGGTGGGTTAGTAGGGTAATCGTTGATTCCAATCGGTTTGATAGACGCGGGAGAGAACTCGGCGAACTAAAATCCTAGGCGCTTTCTCCATAGGCTCGCCACTCCCAACTGGGTATAGTAGCTGCAGTGTTAGTAGCAGATATTTATCTATATTAGTGATGGCTTTACGGTATTAGACTAAATAGTCTGTGCATATAGATTACTTAGATAGGTCCAATCTTGGGAAGAGGACAGACAGTGTATATCCTAGGGGGGAAAACAGATAAAATCGGACAATTACAATTCGAGGTACCAGTAAATTGAAAATTCATAAGGAGATATAAAAACCAATCAAATATATATCAGACGACTATCATCTTGATCTTCTCAGCTGATAAAAGAAAATGGTAATACCCGGGTGTATTACGGCGTATATGGTCCACGGGTGTATTGTGTTATCAGGATAAGCCGTATTATTTAGCTAAATAATTGGTTACCCCGTGCCACCACTTTTCCCTCTTCACCTTTTCTATCTCTACACTTTTCGAGGTCTTAGAAGAGTCATTCTTTGACTCATATTTAATTTCATTAGGTAGGATCCCTCTGCCTGCTGGAGTCTTCTTGACTCCCCCCGATAAGGCTGATCGATTTCAAACCGTTGCTAACCCTCACATTCAGAGCCTCGATTGCTCGATCTTCTTTTTTTTCGGATCTCAGTCGGGTCGCACAAGCAAGATGTCGACTACATCTAGTACCATCTGTTGAGCTATCCTGTCTTGAGCGTTCTCCCCCACCTCCACCAAAACCCTTGTTGGCGCCATGGAGAAAATCAACACTGGGGATGGTCAACTTTTCATAAAGGTTTGTGCTTTTGTGCAGTCAATCATTGAGATGATAGAGAATGTCTAGGGTGTTTGGTCTTATAGAGAGCTAACACGCATGGTTGCTATAGAATGTCGCTAGCTACGTTCGCACCCACGAAAAGGCCCTCGCCAATGCACTTCAACTACGTCGTCAACCCACCAAAAATGCCATTCCACAATCACCCAGTGTTCCATTAACCCCTGGTAGCTCCTTCGCATCGACTTCCTCAACCCTGGCTGCGGCCTTCTCATCCGCAGCATTAAAATTCATGTCGCAGAATGTCAAAACCGCCAAACTTACATTGACTCCTCACCACCTTTTCTATCTCCTCTCCCGTTTTGAAGAATTGAGCATTGCCGTTGGACCTATGAACATCAGATTGGAGAATATTCACACCGAGGTTTCGCAATCCTATGTTTCTTTCCTGAACAAGCCCCAACAGTCCCGGGGCGATCGGGCCTCTATCCATTCGGTATCCAGTGTTCGTAGTGTGATGTCTGGCATGACCGACCTCTGGTCATCTTTCCGCCTCGGATCCAATACCCCAACCAAATCGGACAGAGCCAAGGCCGCCTTGGAAACGGACCTGAAGTACTTGTACTCTGCCTTTACCAAGATCCCGTGTCTTCGTCTTGCCCCGGACCACCGTGCTCCTCTGATCTCTGGATATGAAGAATTTCCTTTTGATACCGCTGTGCCCTTGCACTCCTTTAAAAACTTGAGCGCCTTAGAGATTATTGATCTAGACTACCGTTCTTTCTATGGCTGGGACAGATTGTCCGAGCAACTACGCACCTTGACCATCAAGAGAGGCCACCTGGATGATCCGGCCGATCTTTTAACGAGAATTGTGTTGGACGATATTGATAAACGCCGCCGACGGTCCGCCAAGTCTCAACAGTCGCCTTCCCTGGGATGGACCAGTTCCAGCAGTCAGCCGGTCCACACCCCCGACCAGGCCAATTCCCTCTCAGCCCCTGGATCTCCTATCGTGGATACAGCATTCGGAACTAGCACTAGTCCTAGATCTGTTCCGATGATACGAGGTAGTTCAGATGGCGCCAGAAATCGCACTAGGGCCGGAAGTGTCTCTCCGACTCGGCCGACCACGAAGCACGGCCACCGTCGAGGCCATTCTCGGCAAATTCGCCGCACGGGCTCCGCAAGCTCCGAATCAAGCGAGGCCTCTATCAGCTATCGAAATGGGAGCTCTACGAATCTTCTCGCAGATGTCCTCTCGTCTTCAAAATGGCGATTCTTACGACACCTGGGCCTTCCGGAAAATTCCCTGACATCCGTCTCTGCTGCCAGTCTTGCTCCTGTAGCCAACAGTCTCAACTCGCTTGATCTGTCCTACAATCTTCTGACGGAGATCCCCGATGGTATAGCGTCATTGGTGGCATTGAGAGCCCTCAACCTGTCGCATTGCATGATTGAGTCTCTTCACTCACTTACCCGGAATCCTCTTCCCGCCATCACCGTTCTTACCCTCCGTGGGAATCGCCTTCGTTCGCTGGCAGGCATTGAGCGGTTACTCTCTTTGGAAAGATTGGATCTTCGTGATAACAACCTCACGGATCCGACGGAGATTGCCCGGCTGACCAGTCTCCCTGAAATACGGGAGATCTGGGTATCTGGCAATCCGTTCGTCAAGACCCACTCTGGATATCGAGTTGTGATCATGAACCTGTTCCGCCGGACGCCTGGCTATTCCGAGGACATAATAATTGACGGTAGAGGTCCGGGATATACCGAGAGGAAGCAACTTGTTGAGCGAGTTGCAGAGCCGCAAGCTGCACCGGTTGTACGCTCTAGCGCGGCAGATGAATCAACGGTTGTGCAGAAGTCTACTATCTCGAAAGTTCCCCAGGAACTTGCAATCTCCAAGCCCCAAGAAGACGAGGGAGATTTGCACATTAATAGCACACAACTGAAGGAAAGTGACGGTGGAACCAACCGTCGCAAAAAGCTTCAACGACGCAGGATAGTCGATATCTCAGTGGACAATCCATTTTCCACCGATGGTCTGGGCAATGCAGGAAGCACGGCTCTGCCCGCCCTTCCCGTCCAGCAAATCCAACCACCAGTCGATCCTCCGATCGTCGTCCCCGTTGATCAGCCATGGAGGCTGGATAGCGCCGCTCAATCCGGTTCATCGAGCATACAAAGCCCTGCAAAACCTATGCATTCGCCGAGTCCTCCACTTGTACAGGCTTTGCAGGGTAAGGATAGGAGCATGGATGAAGAGTTCTGCCGCCAGCAGCTAGAAGTTCTTCGTCAAGACGTGGGCCATAACTGGCTAACCGTTCTCGGAGAGAATGATTGGGATAACTCCCATAAAGACTTTGCTCACAGCTCAGGCGCAGGCTTGGACCATTCCGCTCATATTACCACCCCTACAATCACCCGCTCGAACACCCAAGCGATTCTGAGCGGACATGCGTTCAGCGGATAAAATACCATTTCCTTTACAGTTCCCGGCCCAGGACACCTCCTGTCGGGACTTTGTTCACCTCTCACATTGCCGTCTCATGACTCCCGGAGTTTTCTCTGTCGTGGATGCGACGTTTACCTACTTCGGTAGATTCTTTCACATCTCTTTTCCTTATTCACGGGATACAACTCCCCTGTCCCCCGAGGACACATTTGAACAACATATTCCCAACACAAGCTGACCATTCTATGCATTGTTTTCGGCGTTGGATGACTTACGAGACATGGTGGGTTGGATGTATGAACTATTTACGGCCGTTTGTTTTTGTTTTTTTTGTTTTTTTTTTTTTTCACTGTCTTCATTTTCCTTTTTCCCCCCAAAATGCATCCTGCGATGGCCCTTGTTCTTGGGTGTGGTCTCCATGGAAGGCACAGTGAAAGACATGTTTTTTTGTTTTCGGTTCTAGCGTGTACTGTATGACTCTGAATTTCGGGCATGTTGGCGTTGGGAGGACTTTTTGACTTGTTTAATTCCCCTGTTTGGTTTCTCCTGTTTTCAATTCCTTTATGATGCACTTCTGGAGCATTGTATAAGACCAGAGTTTATAGCTCATTTGAGAAGAATGCCAATTATTTTGGAGAGTTTCCAACCTTGAATATCCCTTCTATAGTGATTATAAGTTCACAAAGGCATTATAGAAGATGATGATATCAGTCTAGATGCACTATCTCGCACTATTTTAGTAGATCAGCCTCTTTTTTTTTGCTTGGACCCTATGGCGTCGAGGTCGTGGTCTCGACCTAGAACCCCCTCTATGCAAAGGAAAAGGTGCATAGTCAAAGCGTTTAAACAGAAGAGATTGGAATAATAGAATAGTGTAATCAGGAATAATAGACTAATATTCAGGCAAGTAAGGAAAAGGTCTAAGCATATAAACTGGAAGATCAAACACGCGCAAACACAAACAGGAACTTCCCGCTTTCAAAAAGATTCTCTTCTCCCAACATCTTCACGAAAAAGATTGAAACTGGTCTGATCATATATCCCGAGAAAATTTTCTCCCTTGATTGAAATTCTCTTCCCCGACACACCTCTCGATCTCGATTTTCCCGTCCTTCCAAGTCCAGTCTTTTCGCTCAGTCTCTTTATCTCGAGGCCATTTCGATTTCCAACCTGCGCGTACAAAACCAACTCGGATAGGCACCACCGTCCACACACATCTGGCATCTCTGCCAGAACTGTTCTTTCCCTCCTTCTTTACCGCGGCCGTTGGGGCCCTTCTTTAGATCTGTTTGGTCTTGAAATCTTCTGTTTGGTAGGTCTCTTGGTTCTTTTCCCTCCGCTCCTCCCAACCCCGACCGCCCAAAGGGGGAAGAAAAATCAAATCTCGAGCGCGTTCTTCAATTTCGCCTCATGGGGACTTGGAATGCAGACTGGACTTCATCTCATAGGACGCTTGATTAATTTGTTTCTTCTTCGACAGTTACAGGACATAAACGCCGCGTCATCAAAATCTCTGTCATTCTCACCCGATCGCTCCGGAAGTTTTTCTTCCATCCTTCGCTTCTCTTTTCTTTCCCATTTCTTTCTTTCGTGTTTTCGTTAGACATTAATCGCCATGGCCGATAATGAGGTGGATTTGGACTCGATCATCGACAGGCTCTTGGAGGTGAGGGGTAGCCGCCCTGGCAAGCAGGTTCAGCTGCTCGAGACAGAAATCCGTTTCCTCTGCACCAAAGCTCGCGAGATCTTCATCTCTCAGCCCATTCTTCTCGAACTCGAAGCGCCCATCAAGGTATGTTTTTGCTTTTTGTGTCCGACGGTCCCCTCGAGTCGGAATAGGCCTCCGTCTAATACGTGTGTCTCATAAGATTTGCGGTGATATCCACGGTCAATACTATGACCTCCTGCGTCTCTTCGAATACGGCGGTTTCCCTCCCGAGGCCAACTACCTCTTCCTTGGTGACTACGTCGACCGTGGCAAGCAGTCTCTCGAGACCATTTGCCTCCTCCTTGCGTACAAGATCAAGTACCCCGAGAACTTCTTCATTCTGCGTGGAAACCACGAGTGTGCCTCGATCAACCGTATCTACGGTTTCTACGATGAGTGCAAGCGCCGATACAACATCAAGCTCTGGAAGACTTTCACCGACTGCTTCAACTGTCTTCCCATTGCCGCCATCATTGACGAGAAGATTTTCACCATGCACGGTGGTTTGAGCCCCGACCTCAACTCCATGGAGCAAATCCGCCGTGTCATGCGTCCCACCGATGTAAGTGTCTCCCCTCCCATCCCCTCCACTCCCTTTTGGTGGATTTGGTATTGGCAGCGAAAGGAAAAGTGACAGTGTGGGGAGTGGGTTCGCGGCTGAAGGCCAACAACGCTGACTGAAATAGATTCCTGACTGCGGTCTCCTGTGCGATCTCTTGTGGTCCGACCCCGATAAGGATATCACCGGTTGGAGCGAAAACGACCGAGGTGTCTCATTCACATTCGGCCCCGATGTGGTCTCGCGCTTCCTTCAAAAACACGATATGGACCTGATCTGCCGTGCACACCAAGTTGTTGAGGATGGATACGAATTCTTCTCCAAGCGCCAGTTGGTGACACTATTCAGTGCGCCTAACTACTGTGGTGAATTCGATAATGCCGGTGCAATGATGAGTGTAGATGAGAGTCTGCTCTGTTCCTTCCAGGTGAGTTCTTGCAATTTTCATCCCCAATGTCTGTTTTTTTTTTCTCGATCAGTTCCTAACCTAAGGTTTTTTTTTCTTCTTTTGATAGATCCTGAAACCAGCCGAGAAAAAGCAAAAGTACGTTTACGGTGGCATGAGCGCCGGCGGTCCCGTCACTCCTCCGCGAAAGCAAAAGAAGAAATAAAAGAATCAATACGAGCTTCCCCATGTGCAGCAGGTTCGGGCGGAGATAAGCCTTTCACAAATCTCTTTAACAGCGCCCTCACGACATTCTCCCTACAATCCCCGCGAGTCCTCCCCCCGGATCCACGAAAACGATGAACGACCGAGGAACCCCTCCGCAGCCAGGATAGCCCGATATTCCTCAACTCCCACCCCCGATAATATCACAGTTTCATTCTCAACTTCTCCCGGGCTCTCTCTCCCAGTGCGACATGCGATAAAAAAACCGTCACATCTTTTCTCGGCCCGTGCAACCCTACTTCCGGAGCGGAGTTCAAATGTTCTGTTTCTCGACTTCTCTGTTTCTGTTTCTAACCATCTGGACTGGAATGTTTTTTGTCCTTTCGGCATCCTGGGAATGGGGAAGGGAATCTGGTTATCTTTTCTCTTTTTCTCTTTTTCTCTCTACGTCTTATTGCCCTGTTCCTTGACCGCATGTGTTGTTGTTTTCTTATCGAATCATATTCGTCTTTCGAATCTTTTTCTAGTCCGATACGTACGAGGGCGGTAGTAGTGCTTTCTCTGTCCTGCTGATGCATCGTATATCGGATTTGAAATGGATGTCTCGGTCTCTAGTGGTGTCTGAAATCAGTTCGGTCTCGGGATGGTTTTGGAGGTCTAGATTGTTTTTATATGGGTAAGGATCACAATTGATTTGATGTAGGTCGCGATATCACATACTTTTCCATAGGCTACTTTTCTGGCATTGTTAGTTGAACTCTTAGATTGATATGCGAGCGAATTTGAATGTCTTGAGGGATGAGTCCATAGAAATGTCGTCTACACAGTGCATGCTCTTTTTCGTTTTATTGCCGTATACTTATAAAACTAACGGGGGAGAAGATATCTATAAAAACAGGCGTCTAAAACAGAATATCCAGGAAAACTACTACGACGGCATAAGTAGTGGGAGAGCAGCTATAAGTCAAATGCACCATGGAGCAAGACAACATGGATGATATACCTACCTCGATCTCGACGCGCTTTCCTCCAGAACCTGCCTTCCATCCACACACACCACGAAGAATAACAACCTCATGATATCTTCTAATCCGAATCCCCTCGCTTCAAAGCCTCAACAGCCATTGATTCCATCTTTTTCCAAACCATCGAAATCCTTTTCGATCCAAACAACAAGCACCCATCACAAACCTTTGCACCTCACTCGATGAAAAAGCACATTCTTTCATCACCCTCCAATCCCACATAGTGCAGCATTTGACGCTGTAAACACTATGTTCCAACCCTCTTGATCCCAGTGGGACTTTCTCTTTCTCTCCAGGGATACCCAGACGCAACCATTACAGAGAGGGCCGGAGCAAAGCACCTGGTTATGGGGTGGGGACCAAGAAGAAGAGGGCGAGACGTGATGAAAATGCTTTGAATCTACCCCGTTCCACTTGAGGCTACATACTCGGTATCGGACTTGAGTTGTCAGACTCGAGACTGAATTCCGACGTTCGATATTGGCTGAACACTAACGAAGGGGGATCAACCTGTGTCTAACGCTCGTCATGTACATGTCGACGCCGGCTACTTCCTTTGGATAACGGGGAGGGCAATAGGACAGAGTTCACTGCTCTGGGGTCACCTACATCAGTGAGGAAGGGGATCACTATATGTCTCTTATCATCCTTTCATCATCCCTTTTGAAAGGCTCTTCTAATCGTCAGATCGCGGGGAGAGACATTCAGTTCTCACAAGAATAATTCAAGGAAATTGCAGAAACGATTTGGGAAATTCAGGGTTGGTAGATGTACCTTTATCGTCTTTCTATAAACCATGTGATTTTGTCATTGAAACCGAACACAATTTGTAGGCTGGAAAACATCATTTCTATAGTTTATACCGAGAAAGAAGATGAATTCAAGTCTTTGGACTATAGTATCCAGGAAAAACCAGCTAGCTAGCTCGAGTAAAAAGGCGCAGAATAAAAGGAGCAAGAATTGAACAAACATGACAAGATGAGCGCGGTACAGCGTTGTCGAGTGACACATTCAAGACGTACAGGTACGTCCGGGGGTAAATATGGATTGGGTTTGTGGGAGGCGGAGAGTATGGGATTTCGGATGTAGAGGAATGTCGGCGAAAGCCCGAAGTCGACGCCAAAACCAAAGCCATTTTCATTTCACCTGGACTTTTGGCCGAGTGGAATGAACATGGATTTGAACTTGACGAGTTGTAGAGAGGGGTCGGTTTATTGGGGGAACGTGGAGGACTCTGTTTAAACGTATTGAGACAACCATCTGATGCCCTCGCCGTATCCTGTGAAAAAACGGGTTAGTTATACTTGTTTCAATGTGAGGCTAACACGGCCCCGCATTTCCATTGATTATCCAGTGCCGAGGTCTGGAATTGACGAAACTCACCCTGTCTCATAACAACACTGCACATGAAGACCTCGATAGGACGGATACCCTCGAGAGGAACCTTGCCTTTACCGGTGGTCTGGTAAAGACCGAGCTGGTGGCGCAGCTCATCCTCGCTGACAGCATCGGGGTGATCGATCTTGTTTCCGAGAACGAGGAAGGGAACCTTAGAGAGCTCCTCCATGGCGAGGAGAGCGTCGAGCTCAGCCTTGGATTCAGGGAAACGCTCGTAGTCCTTGGCATCAACCAAGAAGACAATTCCGCTAACTTCGGGGAAGTAATCCTTCCAGAGACGGCGAGCTGGAGGGAAAAGATAGGCTCGTTAGTTATGTCCGATCTTAAAGTTCACTGTGGGGGGTGTTTCGCTGCTTGGCACAATGAATGTGCAACATCACGATTTCCCATTGAGTGGTACTCACCCTGCTGGTGACCACCGAGATCGAAGGTCGTGAAGCGGTTGTTACCGATGGCCAACTCCTCCGAGGTGGGGTGTGCGGTGGGCTGCAGGACGGCAACACGGTCGTTCTGTTGAATGCCACTATCAGTAAATAAGTCCATACAACATGTAGTTCTCATATCTCCCCCAGATCTGTGCGACAACCCAGCGCGACCAAAGTACCGGCCTCGTGGCTAGCGCAATTGTCTAACAAATGGCTGGTCTTCTCTTTCCAAAGTAAACATCAACGCTCAACTCACCTTCAACATGTGCAGCAACGTCGTCTTGCCGGCATTGTCCAGACCGAGGAAGAGGAGCTTCGCGTGCTTATTGAGGAGACCCAGCGATGCCAGGACATCGTAGACTATAGTACAAAGAACAGAAATCAGCAAATTGCACCTTATACCTCGAAATCAATCACAGCAACCGGTACCGCGGTACAGCCGTCGCATGACTCGATGGCGGAGTCGAAGTGAAGATAGTTTCAAATCCACTGCAGCTAAATTGCCCAGAAACACATCTCTTTTCCTCTTCCTTCGAGTTTGGCATCGGCTCCGGATGGTGACCGCAGGTGATCGGGTATGGTATCGGGAGGGTACTTACACCAGTTGACGATCCACATGGTGAAAGGTCGGAGTCAGGAAATAATGCAGAAGAAGGTGAGCGGGAGCCACAGATTATCAGTGACGAGCTGATTGGGGAGAGATGGATGGACGGGGATGGAAGAGATAGAAGCAAAAGAAGACAGGTTTGATGTTGTTTTCGGGGACTTGGTGCCTGAGGCATGAAGACGGAACCCTCGCGCGATAAGGTCCGACTTGAGGGGAGATGGGCTGACTTGGGTAATTTGGGTATGAACACAGCTTTGTAGATTCTGGGGTGAGTTGCGGAATATTGATCATAATTGCATCCTTAGATCTCGTTCTTCGTGGCGAAGACTTGCCACTACTTGATTCCATAGTATTACTCTGACCATCTACTAGAGGAAGAAGTTCATCTAAAATATTTTCATATTCACTCCCATCAAACTGATGGATCTCTTTATTCACAATGCAGAAAAGCCAGATAGGGGGGTATATGCACCGCAGCCATGCAAGACAACAAAGGAAGCAACCTCCAGCACGTCCCGAGGGACGCTGTATAGGAAAAGAGGGAAAAGAAAAGATATAGATATACTTCCGACAGAAAATGCAAAGAAAGAACCACCTCCGTATGTGAATTATTGAAGCAAAGGGGGAAAGGGATAAGAGTAAAAAAAACCATTCATGTGAACAACACAAAGTCGGCTAATATGTGTAAGAAAGCGAAAGGCACTCGGATCGCTAACCGAGCAGGGGAAGATAAAACAACCCCGGAACCAAAAAAGGTGACAAAAAAAGTAGGTATGTACAGGTCAAAAAAACGGAGGGGTGAAACTTTTTCATACAAGTTCCATGTAGGTAGGGATACCTAAACGGATAGGACGAGCTGGGCGTCTTGACCGACGCCGTAAGCTCTGCACCTCTCAGCAACTTCGAGGCCAAGCTCCTTCATCCGTTCGGCTCCATGGCCTGGAACAGGCCGTTTGCCCATCTGCTCTTTGGCAGCTTTGCGGCAGTGTTGACGCCAGAACTTTTCTTTGCGTTTCTGGCGCTTTTTCTCGAGCCCTTCGACAATGTCGACTGGGCCACGAGTGTGTAGCTCACGAGCACGTGAGGGTTCATCCTCTGGCGATTCACAGAATGCCGGGATACCTTGCCATCGGTGATCTTTGTCCAGGCCGGTGAAGAAAGGATTGGGGACACGGGGAAGTGACTTGGTACGGACGAGAGGACGGCGCTGCACCAGGTGGCTGATGTTTAGACCTTCGGGTGACTCAACAATGTGCATTTCCTCGGTAAATTGCCACGGGGTTGGGATGGGGGACTTTGCTCTCATACGTGGGGGAGGCGACTTGAGACGCTTGGGAGAGACGCGGCCAGTACGGCGGGGTGGTGGAGACATCAAACGTCTGGGAGAATGGCGGGGCGATTGCTTGCGAGCCTCACCCTTGGGACGTCCTCGGATGTTTTCATCACGGCGACCTGTTGCGGAGGGAACACTGGAAAGCTCTTCCTCAGATGGCTCCAGGTCTTCATTGTCCTCCGGATCGCTGGTGGGGAAGCTGGGGTCGATATCCTGAGGGATGATGACTTCCTTTAGGCGACGCCGTTCCTCGAGGCAAGATTTATAGGCAAGTTCGAGGGGACGATCCTCGTCGAGAGTTCCACAGACAAAGTCGGTACTATCAGGAAGGTTTGGGGTCCTTGGACGAATGTTGATACTCTTAGAGGTCTTCGAAGCGCGACGGGTACCAATCCTTTGCACAGGGGCTGGAAGCCAGTTCGAGTGATCCTCCGCAATCGAGTCGACAGATGTGTTTGAGGCACGACGTTCCATAGCCGAAGGGCGTGTATCAAGAGGTTGACTGTTTGGTTCTGGAGTACGGTGTGATGAACCCCAAAATTCAATGTCAGAGCCATCATCGTCGCTCTCGTCCGACTCCGCGAAGCCTGCCTCGTTGTCTGATTCATTACCGTCGTCCGAAGAAAAGTCGTGCACAGTCGAGTCGTCATCAGGAAGGTCATCCATATCCTCTTCCTCCTCCAATGCCTCCTCTTCTGCCTGCTCGCCGAGCCGTCGGATGGCCATTTCTTTCTTCATACAATCATTCAGAGTAATCTTTTGCGTATAGTCGGCTTCCCTGTTCACCCATTCATCATCCTCGTCCATGGAGCTAGCAAATTCGTGGAACCGGGTGGCTTCGGATTCCTCGAATTTGCCCAGTCCACTGGTCGGAACACCCTTGTGGCCTGTGGACGCAGAGACAGCCTCCTTCGAAACCTCTTTAGGGGTTTCCCGCAGGGTGGGAGACGCTCTGCGAAAAACAGGTGCAGGGGAGCCACGGCATCGTGGCCGGGAGGGTTTGCGTTCCGGGGATCGCTCTCTCTGGCAGACAGTCTCCCGTCCAGGGCACACGAAAGTGAGTGTGGTTTTGCGCTTGAGGGGTTGAATCGAGGCTTCCTCCGTGGGATTCTCCTTCGGTGCTTCTGCCTTGGGTGGAAGTTCTTGTGACGAAGAGGGTGAGACATGAGAACTCCGCTCATTCTTATCTTCGGTCTTACGACCACAAGCGAAGCTAATGCATCGCTTACGGCCAAGGTTAGCCTCGACAGAAGTTTCACTGGCATCAACCACCTTCAATTTAGGGGTTGTATCTTTCTTTCCCATCATCGCGGCATTTCCCATCATCTGATGTGGTAGGGGCGGGCTAGGTGTATTAGATAAGGATGGACTTGTGAAGCCGCCGTCGCTGGTCAACTCGGCCGTGGAGACGCCGCTGATGTTGCTGTGAGGGTAGGATCTGTACATGTAGGAGTCGTAGTGGGGGGGCGTGTGGATCGGTTGGGGACATCTCCGGGCTGCTCCTTAAAGCGCGTGTGAGAAGTGATTCCTTGCGGTTCGCCAATGGCCGTGAAAGCACAATTTGATCGGAATTCATCCGCGTGGCGTGCATGACGTGTTCAGGGGGTTCGTCGACGTCCTCGACCAAGTCGGCCTCGTCATTAGCCGGCTTGGGGGACGAGTTGGGCGACATGAGCAGCTTCAATAGGTTGTGAAAAGAAAACGTTCTTTCTCCGCCATGAGATTGTGCCATGTTTCGGAAGAAAAAAGTGTTCGCGGTATATTTCGAGGTATAAGAAGAAGGATGAGGGTAGAGGCGAGTGGCGTAGGATCGATTCGAAGGCGAGGTTAGGACGATGCTTGAAAGACACGAGATCCTTCAACAAATGCTGTCTTGATATCGATCAATGTGAAATCGATCGACCACAAAGGCAGAACAAGATGTCCCGAGCGAGGACGATTGTCATGATATAAACCGCATGACTAGGGGGATTCGAGACGAAGGAGGAGGTTCGCCAAGATCGATAATTGTGCCTAAGAATGGCAACTCAATGTTGAGCTGGAGACTAGATCTCGAATACCTCCAAATTTGGAAGGCCCGTGCTTTCAGAGGGATCGAGATTAAGGGAAAAAAGTAAAGTTTAGGAATGTCGAGAAGGCAAAACGCGAAATGGAGTGGAGATTATAAAGAGTATGAAAAAAAAAAAAAAGAAGGGGAAGTTTGGGGAAAGGTTGACAATAAAAACAGAATAAGAAGATCGCGCATATGAAGTGCAGGGGTGTCTTGGAGGGGGAGAGAGAGTGGGAGTGACGATACGGCAGCTCGGCACTGTCGCATTTGGATTAGCTTGGTTTTTTTAAAAAATTTCCTTTTTCCACGTTTTTTAATTTTTTCAATTTCCGTTTCTTGGTAATTTTCCTTTAATTCCCTAACCTTTTTCGATTTCCGGTTTTTTTTTTTTCTTTCCATTTTACTCCAAACCCGCAATCACCCCCATGGACGCCCATTTTTTTCAAATTGCCTTACGCTCTCCGTAAATACTCCGTAACTAGGGCCATGTTGTACAGCCCTGGAGACCGAACTGTAACATATCTGACTAAGAGATGCCTTGCCACTTTTGCAGACTGTACATTGTACTATAGAGTATAGGTTTCCTTTCGATATTCTATACTCCTTTCGTCTCATTATTACTATAATTACTATCCTATGTTCATCCACATCTATATTGGATGCTTTGTTTCATAGAAATCATCGAAAGAAACTAAATGTAGCATAAAGCGTTTCGAGTATCGAGGTCAATTCCAAGTGGACCATGACCATTGTCTGTTGAGGATTGGCCGCGGACTTGCTATGAGGGATTTTGTGCTGGGACTAAACCCGTTTCAGGGTTCTTTTTCTCTGTTGAAAACCTCCCGTCAAACCTGACCTCTCTTAATACTTTCCGTAACTGTGCGAATCCACTTGCCAACGCAATGAAAATGGGTCAAAATCTGCCATATCCTCACCGTATATCGCAGTTCCTATATGTACATTGTAGACCTCCATTGGAGTCCATTGGAAAGTAAACTTTCTATTGGAGGCGTATTGGTACGGTCATATCCCAATGACAAACGCCAATTCCCATAGTGCGAATTGGTATGAAAAAGAAATCACCATTCCCCGATTGGGGTACCTGAGCGCTGCCGAGCTGTCAGCCTTGGCCCAACTTACCCTAGAGCTAACGGGGGTTAGAAATCTTCAATTCTCTTACTCGACCGAAATTCGTAATGACAATGATAACTGAAACTATAGACGCGCTGTACGCGCTTTGTGGTTTCTGCTTTTCAATGCCTACAACGGGGCCCTTGGCGGGTTTCGCCGAGCCCTATAGTCGCTTGGTATTTGATTTCTCTTCCCTTGCTCCTAATGCGGAAAACTTCTCTCTCTTCTGACGTAGAGTAACATGAAGTATATTAGTCATTTACTCGCCCTTCCATCTTGGCCTTGGACAATTTCAAAGTTCCATGACTGAAGTCTGTCGGATCTTCTCGGATAGAGAAGTCTAGGGTAAATTAGATGTTGCATATTGTAATATATACTATACGCCGTATAGGTCTTGTACAGGAGTACAAAGTCGTATCCACTGGCCTCCGAACTGCACCTCAAAACGGACTCTTGGCTCTGCTCCTTCCCGGTAGATCAGTCTTGGTATACTTGAACATAGCCCGTAGAACAGGCTGTATTGCTAGATATTTGTAGATAGAATTGATTGTCTCTATTGGCTCTCACTACAGTGCCAAGTCCAAAGGCAGTCATATTTTCTAGGGATGCCAAGCTTATCCTTCGCCAGCATGGCCTTCATTGACGCTCCAAATTTAGACATCAAACTTCGTCATTCAGAGGCGAAGCGTTCATGATCGTCAAGTTGGGTATACATTCGATCTACAATACAGCTCACGGAGTACGATGTGTTGTTTCAACAGGCGACTTTATTTCTCTCCATCTCCACCCCCAATCACCGAAACCATAAAAAGCAATTCCATCTGCCCGACAGATAGACAAGCATAAATGACCTTGGAACTTGCATCAAGCTTACGAAGACTCCCACGTTGACAAAGAAAAGCGGTCAGCCATGATCAGCCCTAGATCGTCTGACCAGCTGCACAAACGGACTTCAATATCGCATGACCCGGACAATAAAAAAAAAATCTCCCAGAGAAAAGCCCGAAAAATCCACGAGTAACCAAAAACAAGCTGAGGCTGACATTCACACTGGTTGGAGATATGCAGACTGCAGCCACAACCCCCTCATCAAGCCTGTAGGGTCATCCCCCTTTAGATCGCGACAAGCTTCGAGAATCCAAGGAGATTCCCCACAGTCCATCCATGCGAACAGGCATAATCCCTGTAGACACAATCCAAGCTCACTGGATTTGCATGTCGAGCCTGTGACCGTCGGTTGACTTTGGAATACTGTAGAAGAAGCTTGTCAGCAACGCAACGGTTTTACAGCATTAACTGGGAAAGATCGAGGACATCGAGTTCAGCTTGCTTGCAATTTGTCCTCGGTTTCGCTTTTGTTTTATTTTATTCTCTGTTTTTTTGTTTCTCTCTGTTCCTTTGTTTGGTCTACGTTTTACGTACATCGGACAAGGACAATTGTTCTATGGACGAGCGGCGATCTTCCCAATGAGGAGAAGGCAGCCGGGGCGCAAAAACAGTCTTGAAACTATACATCGTATCCAGGACTGTGAAATGATACGAACATACTCAATGTCGCTGTTTGCAAAGTCCGCTGTACAGAGTACAACATACGTGACAAAAGTTCCCGTGTTGAGAACGACATGGTAGACAGGCTAAAATCGAACGTTGCCTTGGCCACCCCTCAATGGCACTCGGGGCTTGGGCTCTCCTTCCGCACACGAAAAACGGGAAAGGAAAAGTGTTGTGTGATCCAACACTGGGCGGCAATACTCGCCAGGTGGTTGGGATTGTGGAATGGGCCAAGAAGACCCCCGCCCGATCCCTCCGATGGAGAACGTCTCCCCAGTGGAGTCGAGTAAGGTGAGAAGTTGTGTGACGGGAGGTTCTATACGGGAATATAGTTTGATGGGAAGGGCTTCTACATTAGTAGTAGCGCTGCGTTCGTGGCACGATTGTGGAATTGTGGAATTGTGGACTTCTCCGCTTAACCATCGTGGCACTCGAATTGACGATTAAGAACCGATCTGACCCGCTCTATAACACCTACCCCAAATACCAAGTGTAAGTACGGAGTAGATGAACTAAAGTACCCAGGTCTAGCGCAATAAGCTGTGACCTGTGCATGGGACACGGACTCCGAATAGCACGAGCGGGATCTTCATTTCGCAATTTCACCCCAATTGAAGCGCAAGTGTGTACTAAAACTGTTGACCGGAAACACAACCGGGGAGAGTGGAGTCGAAAAGCAATGAGATTGGACAGATGCAAGCTGCAATGCAGTATGCGCGATAGGCGGGACGGGTAAATGGTTGAAATATCCCGAGGATTTCCCTGTACGGGATATACCACTATGTATGAGGCATTTTCATCCTTTGGACTACTGCACTACGCCAGATGCAGTACTAAGCTACTTTTATGTTCCTAGTATAGGCGAATTGACTTTATTCTCGTCAATAATGTATTGTTCTTGACCTCAATTATGCCCTCGGGTTGATTTCAATCATCTCTATCCGAATGTGGAAAGAGGCTCTCTCTTTGTTCTATGAATACGCGAATGTGACGGTGATCTTGGCAGATATTTTCCCCCGAGAACAAAGAGATTCCCTTACATGTTCCACACAGACAATGCACAAGAACTACGGAGTACGAATAGATCAGATACCAGTTGCTGATCTATCTCCAGTATGGATCGTTACCTGGCTCCGCATACCCCCTGATACCCTCAATACCCCAGATCTTCACCACATCAAAGAATCGACTGCCGAGTCGGTTTCGAATGGCAATGCCAAGTCCACTCCGTCCCTCACACTGGGAACACAAATTCCATTGAGCACATCTCCCCCGAGGAACGTGACAGCCTAAACGTCAGCCTCATGACCTCGCCGCCAAGATAAACCTGAGGGTTCGCAGAATCCCGTTCGACAAGACAGGTAGAACGGACAGATCAATGATCTACCCGGCAGTGCAGCGTGCAAGGAGGTGACCAGTTACTCAAGGCTTCACCGGAGGAATGCTTGGCGACAGCGCGTGGTGAAGCAAACCGCCAAGATCTGGGCATTGTATCTTCAGAATGCGCCCGGTACGACTTGAGATGTCGTATGGAACCGTTCTGGAGAACAATGAGAGGTTCCGGGGGTGACAATACGGGGTAGCAAGAGCAAGGGAGAGTGGGAAAAAAAGGGCCTAGTTCTCCATAAAAGGGGGTTCAGGTTCAATGATGCTATTTACGATACACCCCCTTTCTTGGAGAGATCTTGGCACTAAACCCCTTCGATAACCATACCCTTAATGATAGGATTCCCTCTCGATGCCAAGCACTGTGCTACACATAGCAAAGTCTCAAAAACGAGCTCATCCTAGTCTCGGCACTGCGGTTATCGACTGCAACGTACGGGGAATGGGCTCGCCAAGGGCGATCAGGGCGATCATGCTGACACCATGAGCGCGCATGAATACACTCTTGGCACCGCTCCTATTTACGTGCTATTGTTTGTGCCAAGCGGTTGCACGGAGTGACTGCGTTGAGTTAGGGGGTTACAGTGGCAGTGCTTTATTTATTTTGGCTCGGGATCGACGGGCGACAGGGCTTAGTCTTTGGACTCGGTCCGGTCCGGTTGGGATGTCTCTGTTGAAAGCCTGTTTATGCACAATTATTACGGAGTACCTGGGTACGGAGTACTTAGGTGCCTAGTACAGAGCATGTTGAGTTGGCACAAATTTTGCCTCGAGGTACATTGTACATGTACGAGGTACACTTCACCGTTAGGAATAGGATACGATCAACACGGTGGCGCTCCTTCGTTTCTTCTATTGCAGTAGTTATTCAGCGACCTGCGTGAACAAATATAGCAACCTCTAAGAGAGCACCGAGTTACGTCTTGGCACATGCCATTTGGCAAATAGCGCGGCTCTTCCCATCGCTATAGATGTTCATCTCGGCGAATCCTCGTCAAATGCGCCCGGGCTCTCTGGCAAAAGTCCGAGGCAAACCGAAGTGCATGCGCCGACATTTCTGACATTTCAGTTTCGCGTACTCCGTACAACGTATCGCCACCACCGAACATGGCGGAAGTTTACAAATCTTCTGGAAGCGTTTGATAATCCACATCATTCCAACTCCGGGGCCATGGATCCGCTGCCCATGAACTTCTCCACAGAATATGGTTGGTGTTCGGGTTGGATCATCGGAAACCTGCAAAATTCACTTGCCAATGACCATTCGGTTCAGCATGGGGAGTTCAAACACTGGAATCCTGTGCGCGCTTCGAAGCACGGCATCGGATGCCGTCGGATAATTAACCCATGAGTGCGCAGTCCGCAGAACGGAGAGGTGAATCTGGAAACGGTCGCACCTGGGTGTCAGCAGCCCGGGAGAACTAACATAACCATCTGATAGTCTCGCTCGCATTGCAGGTATCATGGCGGTCGCATCTACAGTCCAAGTGACCATGATGCAATTTGACGCACTTCGCACTTCGCACATGACACAGCGATGATTATTGAAATTTTCTATATCACTACACCATATAGGTGGGATGATATCAATAGAGCGCTCGAGACGACACGGGCTGAAACACGTTTCGAGTCCATGTGAAGCAGCAATATTGAATTCAGAACCAAACCTACAATATTATCCGATATATTGTATTCAAAATACAACAGGGTGTACATCCTATAATAGAGCGGCAAGGGAAACGATACCAGTTTCAGCAGCTCCAGCCGTGTCAATCGCAATAACTCCGGCCACAAATCACCCAACCACGGATATGTCCATCGACGATCACCGAAAACGGGATAGCATGGGGGTTATCAGCGGGAATGTGCTCGAGCGACAAAACCTGACCGACGTAATCGCGCAAGAACCTATAATATTCCGCTCGGTCATTCGCTCGGTCCCCAGCCAATCCCTGTACGAAATGACGCCCGTGTTAAGCTGGGGCCTTTGGAAGGCGACTCCAGCAATTGCAACAAGAGATTAATCGGTGCATAAAGTTGATATCATATCGGTGATGCGCTCTACCATGGTTTCAGAAATGGGGGCTTGAGCTTCTCAACTTATTTTCAACGTACAGTATACGTTTCAGATGCTCATTCGACACTCCGCACTAGTGACATCACGGATGTAGATGGGCATCGCACGGTGATCAAACGCATGCCTGGTTAGCTTGTGCTTTGATCGTGACCTGCGCTAGTGGTGCGGTTCTGTCCGAGATACTTCTACGTCAATCTATACGGTACGCCAGTGATTGACAGGAATTTACATCTGATATCTCATTGATGGAACCATAGGGCATGATGGTGACGCTTTTGATGTTCACTGTCGGATCAAGATACCCTGACCACCGTCTTTTGATTCGATAACCCAGACTGTAGGGAAATGCCATGTATGTAGTCGATTTCTCACTTCCGAAACTGGCAATCCGAGTTGCGGTCGAAATACAATGTTTTGTATGTTGTATACGCTGTTACGAATCATTAAACAATTTCCTGTATTTCCCTTTCATGTTATTGCACGTAAACTGAGTATACACCGTAGACCAAATTCATTTGGCACTGTTTTGGTGGCTATTATGTGTCACCAACCTGGCTAGTCCCTCGGTTTGATACTATATAACATGAGTCATGCACCTTTATTTTGATTCCGAGACATTGAGAATCCGTATCTGAGTCAACTATCTGTTTGAAAAATCAATTTGCATCATATTTCATATTATAATGTAGGAATACTCGACACTTTCCCGATCAACCTCACTAGCGAATCTTGTCAACGATTGGATGACCTCATTGATCTGACTCGCAAATTGCACGGAGTGAAGACAATCAATCTACTTACTCCGTATGTGACAATGCATTGCTTCTGAGGATTATTACACCATTATCCTATACTGTCCCTTTCTAAGCACGACTATATGTCCATGCCTCTCAATAGTACACTCCCCTCTTCATTTACCAGTCTACGGGAGCGAAAGAAATTGTGGCTATTTTGAGACAATGACGGATATTGAGGTTGACAACCTGGAAATCTAACGAGATGACTCAGATGGAATGAAGCGAAGTTTCCGAGGAAGACTTTTAATGCTTCAGCGCACGTGGATGTTCCATGAGGCTCAAGGGAAACCTCCACTTCCGTCATTCTCACCGATCCGCCTCCTTGGAATATTTCATCGCAGAGTGTAATCAATCTAACTAATTTAATACTGACATGGGCCCGTAGATGCCTATCGGGTAATTGAGACAGACCGAGAAGAGGAAATGGTTTCAACTTAGTTATCAGCCTTAGGCCGCCACGTCCAAACCTACTCTTTGAGAGATGCCTATTCTCTTCCTCAATACGAGCTGAAAATTCTTCACTTTTTCTATCTCCAACCACCTTTCCATTTTGACTGCCTTAGCGATGGAATATGACCCCCAATCCCCCCGCTCCTTCGCTGCTTCCTATGTCTCCAATTCTCGCTTCCATCGCTTCTTGACCATCGAGTCAACGACCCATGGCCCTCTCAATGTGACATACGCCGATTACGGCCGTGGGCCCAATAAGAATGGAACTACACCGACACTTTTGTTTATACCGGGCATGTTTTCATCCCGGTATATCGGAATTTGTCTACACGCGATGGCCGAGAAATGGGGCGTCCGCGTTTTGGTTGTTGATCGGTAGGTGTACCCCCAACTCTCATATATATATGAACTAAAGATATCTCACGTAGTCCCGGAATGGGGAATTCCACCGAAGTGCCATTGGCGCAGCGAGTGTCCGCCTGGGTTGAGACCGTCCCACGGCTTTTGGCGCATCTAGACATCCAGCATGTTTCGTTGGTGTCGCATAGTGCTGGTACTATGTATCTGCTCAATACCCTGTATTACTGTCGGGATATTCTATATCCCGAGAAACCAATGGTCACATTTCTAGGTATGTTTTATTTCCTGCAAATATTTCGTCTTTTGACAGATTGTCTATACTGGATAAGTAGATTACAAGATAGAAGCTTGTGTTCTGATCAGATAATAGCGCCATGGGTTGACCCCGCCAAATCAGGCAATGCATCTATGAAATTGGCGCAATACATCCCGACCTCAGCCTTCAAGGTCTGGCATCATATCCCACGTCTCTTTCTCGTCAAGGATGGGTCTGCAATAGCGGCGAGTGGAACAATGATTGCCAATCTCACTGCCTCTCTTCCCTCAAGTAGCGGTGACGAACAGGCAAAGAATCGGCTCTACATCTCCCAGAACTATGGACTAGATGTAGACCAGCAGAAAGAGATAGACTCTTCGATGATGCAGTGTATGTTTGCTGAGAACACGGTTGGCGCTAATAGCGAGGCGTTGCAGTGTTTACGAAAGGAGCCTAGGACATGGGGCAAATGTGAAGACTATGAGATTTTTGTGCATGAGTTGGTAGAGCGCGAAAGAGAGCGAGTTGGAGTGCCGTTGAAAGTCCAGGCATTCTTTGGTGAGACTGATAGCATGATTGGCAAAAAGGGTCAGGCTTATTTTGAGAGATGCTGGCGGATTGGTGCTGAGGATTCAAGGGGCTCAGTTGAATTTGATTCAAGGGTGGTATCTGGCACTGATCATGATAGTTTGGTGCCGTCTGCAGAAGTGTGGGAGGGCATTCTTGCGAAAATGGTAGCTTGAAATAGTCCTTGAAATAGCATGAACATCACCCAGGCATGTATACATAGATACATCGTATATAACAAAATGCGAGGCGCTTTTATAGTTGAAGGCTGTCTTGCCGGGTGCGACTGAGGCGGATGCTTTGGAGGGTTGACAGGGACGACTAATGTTATTTTTGATAAATTGAATCGAGCTGTTAGTAATGATGTTATTGGGGCGATTCCACAAGCTATGAAGCCTGTTTGGTTGATTTTGATGGTGGTGCGTTGCGTTTGGCTCGGAGTTTTTTTTCAGCGGAGGGGGAGAAGGTATGAACGGACCGTTTGATAAGGAATAGAGGGCCAATCATGGTGAGAACTTCTGGGGGCCGTTGAAGGGAGTTTGGGAATGCTCAAAAGATGGAGAGGCGCTTTAGGGTATCTGATGGCCACAGGTTGGCTTTAGCTTTCTTCCCGAATCGTGCCCACAAATTCCAGCAGATTTAAGTTTGACTTACAAAGATATAGGGAATTGCGTCAATGATTGATGTAGACTCCCCGATGAAGGAAGTAGAATGGTCATCCTACATGGCTCTAGCCAGGTGAGATGTTGTAATTCGCCCCTGTCCAGGGTGTGTGTAACCTGTTAGGAATCGTTATCGGTTTTGCATATGAAGTTTTTCCGTCTCAACTTCTCTCGGCCGCTCTATATTCTATTCTCCATGGATATAGGATATTGGTAGTTCATATAGTTCATAGGCCATAGGAAGGAATGAAATAAACGCCGATAAAATAGCCAAAAATAGAACTCGGGGAATTCTTCGCGGTATAGTTAATTGAAGATCATGGCCTTGTATATCAGGCATCCATGCATACTTTACCTGCAGATGTTCAATAAAATGCAGCGGCCCCCACCTGTCAACCTTGGAATTTAAGCACTGCTTACTCTCGCAGTCTCCCTACGCATCTACGGTTGATCGAACATGGCCGCTCCAAAAGTATGGGAGCAGTCAGGGTGGCAGGAATATCTGTCTGCTCGGAACTCTGGACTGCCATATCTTCCGGCCGTCACAGAACTCACCAACGAAGTCGTACGAATACTTGGCGGAAACCCCGGCGACATGCAACTGCAAGGAACCAATACATATCTAGTCGGAAGCGGTCAACAACGAATTTTGATAGATACAGGACAAGTAAGTGGCATTGGCCATCCCAGTTCAGCACTTGGAGACTAAAAAAGACAATCGTATCGACAGGGTTGTCCAATCTGGCTCACAAATCTGGTCAACTATCTTGACCAACACCATTTGAGCATCTCCAAGGTACTGCTGACCCACTGGCATACCGATCATACCGGTGGTCTCCCGGCGCTACTGGCTCAGTACCCACATCTGGCAGCGGCGGTCCACAAAGCCGACCCGGACCGGGGTCAACATTCGATTCACGACGGACAGACTTTCACCGCCCAAGGGACTACACTGCGAGCCCTATTCACACCCGGACATAGTCAGGATCATATGTGCTTTGTCATGGAGGAAAGCGGCGCCATGTTCACAGGTGATAATGTGCTTGGACATGGAACCAGTGTTGTTGTGGAAGAACTAGGGCCATACATGAGGAGTTTGCAGACCATGACCCAAAGTGTGCTCAATGAAGATCTAACAGTTGGATACCCCGGGCATGGTGCCGTGATTGAAGACCTGCCAGCCAAACTCATGGTTTGGAGCAGACACTGGACAGTACGAGAAAAGAAGGTTTTGTCAGCGTTTATGGGGGGCTCCGCAAAGAGAAAAACATCGTTCACGACACGAGAGATCATTGTATGTCTCTACGGACCAGAGATGGAGACAATGGCCACTCCATTCATAACTCAGGTTCTATCGAAACTGGCTGACGAGGGGAAGATTGGACTCGCTGTTGCAGGAAAAGAGCGAAAGTGGTTGATGTTGTAGAATTACTTTGTTCCTTACCGATTTCGGGGAAATTAGACCAATAAATATCAGACTTACGAATATGTCCAAGTCTCCAATGACTGCGCTGAGCCATAAGCCTCTATTTTACCCAGTATTTCGATGGCGCCCAACCCTCAAAGAGTCTCTAATACAAAATATGCTTTTTCCGCCTTTTTCTTCTATCGACCTATATACTGGGAAGGGGGAAACTATCTTAAAGACATTCAGGAACAATATCTGAAGAGACTGCTGAAAAGACTGCTGAAAAGACTGCTGAAAAGATTTTGTAAGGCCGTATAAGCGGCCGTCTATTGGTGATCTCACATAGAGTAGGTAGGTATGTCCATTTGTATAGGAATTCGAAGCTTTATTTTTGACACTTTTGAACGCTAGCAGAATCAGGCTACTTGGAATATGTAATAGTAGGTAAGGCATCGGCCTTTTGTAAGAGAGAGTGTTGAAACCTGGTCTCTATATGTCTTCGTACGAGTCGACCCTATCCCGCCTGTGCGGAGCCAGATGGTTAATCCGGTATTCGATCTTGCTCAAATCGATATGTCAATGATTCCTGTCTTAAATCCTCGAGTGTTGAGATCGGATGAGCCGCCACTGTTCTTGTGGCCCATAATTCCAAATCGCAATACTCCAAAAGTGAGTACATAAGACTCCACCTTGAAGAGTGAGTTTTATACCTATCCAAGCCAACCAGTAGCGTCATTTGTGATTTGCTGCAACCCCCTGCAAGAAACCAGCCATTCCTGGTAAGAAGTCTGCTGGCAGCTCCGATCCATTTCCTAAACACTCGTATATTGTCCCTCTTGTTACCCTGTTCTAGACATTCGTCCCCTCTTTTGATCAACAAAACGCAGCATCTACCCTAGCCTTCACTGCATCATTAACTCTCGCCTGATCTGTCGTTCCCTTCCTGATCTGACAGCACCTCGGCACAGCAAGCACCTTCTTCCCAATAAATTCCTTCGGGTCGATCTCAAAAGGGTTATACTTGTTTGCATATACCCCTGCATCGTCTTCAATTTCAACGATATTAATCTGCAAGACTTCTGGATTGGTGTCGTCGGCTGGGACAAGATGGTCGAATGTAACTCCATAGTAATCAATCATCCTATAGTACAAAGGTGTCAGCATAGGCTATTAAAGGAATAATCATGTATGAGAATGATTTACTCTTTTGGTCTGGCCTCTACCAACCAACCTTTGTATTCATCCCGCACTACCATGTCCCCAGCGATATCCGGCCGTACATGTCGGTGGTAGATTGCCCGAAACGCTAGCTCCGCTAGCTTGGGACCGCCAGGCAAAGGAAAGCTATGGAGGACGTGCCATGAAACCCCTGGAAGAAGCTTCTGAAGAGCTAGCAACGGACCTTCGATTTGGATTCGAAGTGGTTGCTCTGCCGAAGGGAAATGGAAGCGATGAGGGGGCGTTACACGGCATAATGGTGGGATATAGAGAGGGAGAGCAGGTTGATCTGAGGGATCAAAGCAGTGGATAAAAAGACTGTGAGTAGGGTTGGTGAGGCATGGGATGTTGGAGAGAGCCATAGTGCGTTGGAAAGAGTGTGTTGCTCAATGGGTTGAAGTGGTGTACAGGAAACTTCGTCCTTGGCGTAAGATATAGGATCTCAAGCGGTGGGAACATTTAGTGGCTGGACGTCGTCACATTTCAGCCGCTTTGCTTGGATCAATTAGTGGTGTCCTGACATAATTATTTTTCATGGGTCTAAGTTACGCCTGGAATTCATGAGGTCGTGCTGATGACGCCAGAAGGTCGAGGCTAAGGAGCTTTAGACAGGACCTGAAGCTTGATGCTCGTGGCCGTTGGAGGGGTGTGGCTCACGCTGCTTCTGTATTTTCCTCTCTCTTTCTGTCCCCTACGCTCTGTATCTTCATATGTTTGGATCTTCCTGTCTCTGGTATGTCTCACGCTGCGTGCCTATGTATCTCACAGATGAGATGGGATCGGCGATAGTGTGGCCCGTGGACCTGGCGCCATTAGACCTGGCAGTGACCCTCTGGGTGGTCCATGATCTTGGACCCTTCAAATGACCCTCTTGGAGTCAGGAGTCGCTGCTGACCCTAGCAATTTATATGGGCTACGGGTTACTAAACAACCTGGATTGATCAATCCTCCGGTATGCCGGTTTGCAAACCCTGCAAACCGCTTGGGAGCACAATCCGATGATATTGTCACGTGTTTACCCCCACGTGTTGCCCTGGACAACCCGTCCACAGGTCAACATGGGTCTCGTATCAATCGACTGTTCCAGACACGCGATCCTCGATCTCTATGTTGTATTGACCTAATACGCTACTTTTTAGTTGCCCAGGTGTTGGAGGTTGTTGATAGCATCAATTCTCACCCCGCGTCTTCCCCGCGTTTGAGTCGATCCCTTGATTGACTTCACCTCTCCTCTACACAACAAACACCCGTGGACATTCCCTCACTTTCAATATTATTAACCGAATTCTCAATTCAACATGAAGCCTTACTTCTTGTTAGGGAGCCTTGACACCAAGACAGTTCTTTTCGACGAAACTCTCACTCCCCGCTCGTCGAGGTACGAGTCTTCAAGACGATGCAATACAGTATACAGTCCGTCTGATAACTCTATCACTCACACAGTCTTTGTGGGTCTTTACAATTCACCCAAGCGGCAAACCAAAGACGGAAACACACATATCTCAAGGACTACTGAGATTAATACCTTCAAGTCACAGCTTGCTAGACGCCAGCCACAGAAGCCGTTGGCAAGATCTACATGGAGAGGTCCTCTCCAGCAAAGCGTGAAAGTTCCCCAGGCAGGGGCGACATCCATCGATGTCCTTGGAACAGGTGGTGGCAAAGAAAATATCCCACCTGGGATTTCCGTCAATACCAACAGCAAAAGCAAAAACAAATTGGAAAATCATGTGCCTATGCCTGAAAGGGCCCGCCTAGGCGTACAAAATACAACTTGCGAAACACGCATAACAATGAAGCCTAAAGAAGCGCGAAAAGATCTACCGACACGAGTGGCTCTAGGTAAAACCCAAGGGAACGTTATCAGAGTCCCAAGAAAGATAGAGCATTCACCGCCGGTTGACAGTGCTTGGGCCTCAGCCTTAAAACGTGCATTCTCTGCCATTGTTATTCAACGGACATGGCGATCATTTAAAGAACGACGGAATAAGCAGACGTGTGCTATAGCGACTGCCAGGGCATGTGAGGTAATTGCTCGATGGTGGCGGGGCGTCAAAGCCTGCAAGCTACAAGAGCAGATACAGCAGGTGAAGCTGAAGCAGTGCACTGAAGAAACACCTCGACAAAAATTTCCTGGTCAGAGATCGTCTGTTCGCCGGAGCCACCGAAATTCTGGCCGCCGAGGCATTCGGCGCCTCTGAAGAGGCTTTTCCTTTCTTTACTGTATTTCTTTCTTGTTTTTCTCACTTTTTTCCCTCACATTTGTCAGAATGATACCCACCGCGCTATGACAGGCAAAGAGATCGTCCCCGGATTTTCTTTTTGGTCAGCAAATTGCTTTTGTACAGTTAACCTTCCTAGTATGATGAAATGAACATATACGAGCTTTGATCTAAATTGTTCGACTATAGTACTTTAAAGAAAATCGCACAGCTTCTTTCAGTGTCTGCATGACTTTAATACTAGAATACATTGCTCTATCCAAGATGTATATAGTTAGGCCTCATTAAGTAGCGTGCGCTAAATTCGAGGTCGGATAGTACGTTGAGCAAGTTCAAAAAATAGTTTATATTACCCAAGTCGACAAGGACTGATCATTTGCCTTGCCTCCAGAATGTTTGCCTCCGTCATTGGGTGATTATATATTAGAATATATTAGAATCCAATCTATATTGCCATATGTAGGTATACAGCCACCCGTGCCACCGAGCCACCATGATGTCATAGGGCGGAGGCCCCAATATAACAATGGCCTTCTGCCACCTGTTTGTTTTGATTTAATCTTTACCAGAATCCATAATTCTTTACTTCCTCCTATTACATTCAGTCTGAACCTCCAAGAGAACTTTCCTCAAAAACTGCTCAAATCTACCATCCAATCCAACCAATCATCATGCCTTTTGAAAGCAATCAAGACAAAGGCGTCACCGGAGCTGCCAAATTCGTCACATCTACCCTTGGAAACACAGTCGGCGGTGTCACTCGTACAGTGGGTGGAGTAGCGGGAACTGCCGGGCGAGGTATTGGCGATACGATCACAGGCGCAACTGGAAGTGCTGGCGAGCCAGTTGGGAATGCGCTCGGTAGTGCAAGCTCAGGTCTTGAGAACGGGGCGAAACGGGTGGCCGATGGCGTTGAAGATGCTGGAAATTGGAAATGAGTTGGCTATGATTCCCTGACTTTTGTCTCGTGTATATATGTCTAGTTTGCTTCAGAGCGCCATCATCCATTGCCCAACACGTCAAAGCTTCATGCAACTCGTCTTTCATCCACATGCTTGAATTCTGACTATAGTCTTGGTTAAACAACGTCCCCACCATAACAGAAAAAGATAAAAAAGAAAAGAGACAGCAATGCCCGTCGAGAGCCATATTCGTATAGTAAATCATATCGGGGATTTCTTTGGGTGACGAGATTCTAATTAACGAGATGACAAGCCTGAACGCATGACCTCGTGAGCCAACACCAACACCCATGATGACGGCATAGCCGTAAATCTATCAAGACTACAAAGTAATGAGGCTCAATTTACCAAGGCCTTCGTTAATACCTAGAGCTACAACAACGTGCCCAAAGGTCCCTCTGACTTCTGTTCTATAACCGTAACCACCCCATTAGTTTGGGAAGTGCAGACATAAGATTTATATTTCCAACAGGACTCGTTATTGACATATTTGCTGCTTCTGATATCATGATTGAGATGCCTCAGACATGAGGCTGCCAAGCCCTCCAAAGGCAGGGCTTGCGGTCCGAAGGTACCTATATTAGAGCGTGCGTTTGACAGTCAAGGCGCGCGGACGAAAACTTGGGCTGGGGTAATGAATGGGCCGAGCGGTAAACGAATCCATCTTCGTTTCAGTTGGTCATTGTGTGATACATATTTGAAAGTGCAGGGGAAATATGATATTTGGATTATCGACATCCTACACCATTATTTGGCGTTGCTCAGCTGCTCTTATGGACGCCCCCATATCGCAAGACTCGTACTCATCGTTTCTGCTTTATTAAAACCCTACATTTTCTATCCTCCTTTTCAATTTTGTATCCTTTCACACAATAAATGAAGCTATATATTTCACTGTGCATTTCTTATCCTTTGTGATGGGGTGCATGAGATCCTTGAGGTCTTCTGTTCTCATACTTCATTGCATCATAATAAGATATCCCATCCACATGCAACCCTCAATTGACCCCAGGAACTTGTTTTCTCATCTCATACTTCTCTGATAACATCACCTATTCTCTTGAACACTCAAAATTTGAAACCTACTCTACTCCATCACAGAGGTATATGCTGAATCTTTCTGACATTATACTCCTGCTAAGCTTGAAGGCTGTCTACGCACGATACAACCATAGAGTTCTTCAACAATTTTGCGGATAAAACCTTTACCTTCGACAAAAATGATATAAACTGATCAAGTAAGGGTCATACAATGTCCTTCGGTCCAAAAGCACTGAGTCATTTCTCGCCGAGCACGCTCTACGTGAACTAACCCAGCGTGAGGGCCGGTTACATCAGAAGGCTGTGTGGCCTTAGAAAAGGCTATGGCTATCGAGTCTCGGGAAATTTTTGATGCGACCCAATTTGAAAACACAAAGGAACACAAAGGAACAGCTTAAAATAATCCGAGTACAATCTCCAACAGCCACAAGGCCATAGCCCACCTAGGCTATCAGTCTGCTCAACGCAATCGTAATCGTCCCGAGGGATGTCCATAGCTGCACATTGGGAAGTCCAGTATTTGTAAATCAGATCTTGGTATTTAAAGCTGTCGATATTTGAGAAGATTTACTTGGTGTAGAGCCTGGCGACTTCTTCAAGATCGTCTATGTCATTATATGGCCGAGCATCTCCCCCTACATTTCGTAGATCAGGTATCCTCAAGCCAAAAATTCCGTTTGGAGGTCCATGGTGACCATGGGACTAGCCTGTAACGGTCTTTTTCCTCAACGTACGCTCTCATGAACCCGTTAACGGACCCAATAAAACCGCACAGTTTGATAGATGAACCCTCTGCTACTAAGAAGCTCTGTGGACTAATATCGGTACGGATAATGCCATGACTATGGATGAAGGTAATAGCGTCGATGGTATTCTGGAATCTACCGATGCCGAATATAATTAGACACCTTATTTGTTGGCAGTCTTGATCTACCAGCATCGAACATGAACAAATATCTTATTGTTTTGTAGATAATTACGAATATTTCCAAGTCCATACTATGGAAAATGGAGGCGTTGCTCTGTGATATCGAGACAATCTAGGATGTTCGCATTCTTAGGCAGGGCTTTGTAGATAAGTTTCTCGCGGTTGATACATAGATTTGAGATGGACTCTATCTGTTGCTTATCTCCGATTGCTGGCTCATCACACCTCGTGAAATTGTGTCTCAGGGGTGTCTCGAGGGCTTTTTCAATGCTTTTCTCGAAGATAGCCCCTGCTGACCCCAAGGCGATGAAAGGAGTTGTTCCCTCCAGCTGTATTAGAATTGAACTACTATTAATACTGAGAGGGATCGAGTAGATACTCAAAACTGACGGTAGTACGAGCATAGGGAAAAGAAGTGATCCCTTGGAAAGTAAAAGGATAACTAGAGGAACCAGCCAGCCTTCATTGCTCTAGGCAGGGGGATGTTTGTCTAAGTACGTGATGTATGTCCCAAAACCGAATTTTTACAAGAAGTAAAAGGCAGTCCTGAAAATATAGTGTGTTGCATTCATATTTCTCGTTCATAGATGCACCCACGCCCACCGGGCACAGGAAAAGGCCCAAGTATTAACGTTGTATCTGTTGACAATGGTGATCAGGTTGACTCTTCGTGTGCACGGTTGCTCGCTTCTAAAAACCCCTGGCCTGGGCGGTCAGATATTGGACTGGAGCTCATATCATGTACATCACTTGTTAACAGAGTGACCAGTGGGCAAAAGCCCTCAAACCCCTTACTTGCTGGAAATTTGTACCTCTAGGCAATTCAGTATGACTAGATGACAAAATAACTAATATCCTGCGAAACATTATCTCGGTTATATCGGAAGAACCACAGAGTCTGATTGACGATCTGGCTGCCCTCGAGAACCAAAATCCACTGGCGAAGGGCCTGTAATGACATGCAGATGTACATCATGGACAGAGTACCGCGGTATTTAGGGACCAATAATGACAGCCCATAGATTAGGGGCATCGTCATTCTTGGAGCTTGTTTGCGCTCTTATGAGAACATAATTATCTGGATGCCGTTCCACCATGACGAGGACTATGATCATCGGATTTATTTCAGGTATATCATAGATAGCTGTCTCTCTCTCTTTTTTTTTTCCAATCCTGTGCTTTTGTGCGGAACTCCTTCAATATACTGTTCTGAAGGGAGTAGTCATTCGTAAAGAAACAAAACAAAGCAGAAGTATGATCGCCGTTCTAGAAGCATGGATGCTGATCTATCCCCAAATGGATGTATGTGGATGCCAGGACCTCGGGAAGACCTCGGGATTATGCCAGATGACTCAGCATGTACACAAAACTGGCTGCCTCGCATGCAGCTTACGGCCAGATCAACAAGATATACAGAGCGACAAACCTTGTCACCATTGATCGGATTGGTTGGAAGATGTGTAGTTATATGTATCTCATCTCCTTTAGATTAACCAGACACCCCTTACTCCGTACTTGTATTAAAGTCATCAACAGGAACAGGTAAGTGGGTCAAGTCTAAATTAGCTCGTGACTGAGAGACCTCCTTTCCCCGGACGTGCCTCAACGTGGCCCCAGGGACTTTCAACCTTCTAACATTTACATACTTTTCTCTTTATAGTTTGGCGACATGGATCTGTAAGCGCCTATATTCACCACCTGCTTGCGTCACCACTCGCCCACCTTCTCCGCTTTCCTGTCACCCGAGGCATGATCCCGCAACATGGAATCAATCGTGTATGAGAACTCGCCTTTGGCTGAATATTTGGAAGGTTGGTTGGATATGTTCAAACTACCCGGGGAATTCAAACCCACTAACGTCCGTACCAGGGGAGGGTGGAAACGAAGAGAGCTGGCCCGTGGAGGAGAATCAAAGCGACGATGATCATGCCCATACCTTCAACTTTGCCCCTCAGGGGTCTTCCAAATTTCAGGATCGCGTTCGAAACAAGCTGCCGAAGCCTCTGAATCTGAGAGGAACGCCACAGGGAGAGCTGATCAGAAAACTATATGAAGCTTGCTCGGTAGGACCCCTCGTCTACGATGGCACGGTGGCGAACTCACACTCCTTCTCGTCTAGTCCGCACTGAACGTCCGATTAGCACGAAGCGACAACGAACGATTTTTGGAACAATTTGGCTACGTTATTGTCGCGTCGCAACTGCTGAACGAACACAGCGCTCCTTCCTACACATCCGCCGCAGATGTCCTATCTGCAAAACAACCCTCAACCCTCCCGTCCCTATCTACCACTTTTGGAATTCAAGGCGCCCTTGTCACCGCCCTCACATCTTTTTCTATTGCTTGGTTATTACATTGGAGCCGTTCGAGGACTGGATCTGGACTCAGTGTCAAGAAAGTCGGAGTGCTCCTGGTATTTGTGCCCGCTGTCGGTATTCTATTCTATGCTTTCGCAAAACGTCAGTGGGTGAAATATCTTCGGCATCAGGCTGTTGAAGCAGCTGGAGCTTTTATTGGAAATGCCCAAGGTTTTGACTCGGCCGCATCGGCCTCCGTGGTCTTTATTCAGGAGGTTGAACTTGTGTCAAGGGGTTATCGAATGTGAGAACACGACATTCTTGTTCGAGACGATCCGGGACTAACGCAATATCACAGAAGCACGCCTCTGCCACCCATCAGTCGGCTAGAGGATGTAGTGCAAACGCGACGGTGCTTGAGGTTACGCCGAGCGGTTTCCGAATGCTTCTACTCCATGCTCGAGCGGTATATTCAATCCCAGAATACCTTACGCCCACTCACTGATGAAGGCAATCTTGCGAAATATTATGACATTTATGACATTGGACTGGAGGAACTCGAAGGAATTGAGGCGTCCCTGTCGCAGCGAACCAACGAGGACCAGTACTCATTGCGCTCCCTAAGGGATCTATTTGGAAAATTGTACAGCGTGAGAAAAAGCGTGTTATGCTGCTTGCTAGCCCTCAGCGCCGATGGTGGTGGCTCCGATATTGCCCGGTGGAGTTCTGCCGTTGAGGAAATGCGTGAGCTTGCTGCCATGACCGGCAACAGCATGCTGAAAATGACAACAATTTTGAACGAGGAGGACCGTGAGTGCTGATATCTGTTCATGACACAAAGACGTTCTAATATTCGCAGATGATAACATTCCCCCATCCCCATTACCTTCTGCCTCACCAAGCAAGGACCACCTGCGTGCTCAATTTCGACGGCTCAGCTCTCTATCACAAGGGGTCCGTGCCTTGCATGCTAAGATGCACATTGCCAGCGAGGAGTCACACGCCAATCTAGAGCGCGCAGAGCCCGATGACTTTGAAGCCACTCTTCTTGCACAATATGACTCGGTTGGCAGCGATCTTAGGGCTCTGCTCCAAGAGTGGGAAGTTGGCAGAGCTGCATTGGTAAACCAACATGATCGCCTTAGTGTTGGGGATCGCTCGCGACCGCCAAGTACTTTCTTGTTACCCATGTCCCCCACCCCTAGCTTAGGGGGATCTACGGCAGTTGAGGGCAGTCCGACAGATGCACTGAAAGCCTTGACTGGCGAGGGCCGGCCGGATCTGACCCAGACCTATGATGACGAGGAGATTTTCGAAGCCGTTGTACTCCCGGCCTCAAGAAATAAGAGAGTTTCTTTGACAAGAGATGAGCGTCTCGCACGTGTTCGAGAAGACCGTGCCAGACAGGCGATCGCCAGAGAAAAGGTAGATGCCAGCACTAACATGCTCAAGGAATTGGAAATGGTCATCAAGCAGCGACCAGGAAACAACTCTGCGAAGCGAGTTACCAGCATTTAAGACAAGGCTTGGATTTCTGTCTCATGCTTGATGCATTCCACAGAATCCCTCTATTTTCGTCTGGGCCATCCGGCACAGGTTTGACTTCAACCAGCGCTAGCAGCTGGGAGTCACAAATTGATACCCACAACATGTATAGACGGAGCCCGGCGACAGCGGTGTTTTATTCGAGGACTATTGCTTATTGCTTCTTGCTACTTGCTACTTGCTACTTTGCTTATTACTTATTTCTTTTGTACCATTATTATCTGTCCGACTGTCTTTAAGTCTTCGATGGCGATTCTTTCGGCATTCATCTCCGTTGAGTGAGAGAATTAACGTCAATTTTTTTTTCAATTTGTACATTACAGCAGGCTCTTCTGCAAATGAAATTTCCTTCTGATATCCATGTCACGCGTAAATCAGTATATCGACAATTTCTTATAAGGAGCTAAATGGGGCCTGACTGCCTTGCCGCCTAAGGTGTCCAACTTAACCCAATAGGGACATATCGCCAAACGCGACCGCGTCTTCCCCACCCTCTTAACGCGATCCTTATATTAGACTGCTGCCTCTTTTATCTTCACTCAAATACACACCCAATTCACTCTCCTCGCCTCTCTACCATTCTCTTCCGCGTCAAAAGGACATTATTTTTGCTCCTATCTCCTCAAGACCCAGTTTTAATTACACACGCACACACACACACATATCAAGAGTAAGTCGGTCAACCCCCAAATCGAAAAGATTGTTGTGTGCGAACCGACCAATTAACCCACTCTCTAGTGTTGGAAGCACGATTGGAACAGGCCAGCCTTCTGAAGCGCGTATGTGATATATACCACTCAGTCAATTCGGCAATCGACAAGTTACTGACACCGCTGTGTGTAGGTCGTTGACGCCATCAAGGATCTGGTCCAGGATTGCAACTTCGATTGCAATGACTCCGGAATTGCTCTTCAGGCTATGGACAACTCCCACGTTGCTCTTGTTTCCATGCTGCTCCGCGCCGAGGGTTTCTCTCCCTACCGCTGCGACCGTAACATCGCCCTCGGCATCAACCTGCTCTCCCTGACCAAGGTGCTCCGCGCCGCCCAGAATGAAGACATCCTGACCCTCAAGGCCGAGGACTCCCCCGATGCTGTCAACCTGATGTTCGAGAGCGCAGAGACAGACCGACTGAGCGAGTATGACATCAAGCTCATGGATATTGACCAGGAGCACCTGGCCATCCCCGAGACTGAGTACGCCGCCACCGTGGAGATGCCTTCTTCTGAGTTCCAGCGCATCTGCAGAGATCTCAACGCGCTGTCCGAGTCAGGTAAGTAACTTTTGAGGCAATACCCGAGCCCGGCTGGCAGGCACACGAGATCCGTCGTGCTAATTTCTTTACTAGTCGTGATTGAGGCTAGCAAGGAGGGTGTCAAGTTCTCCTGCCAGGGTGATATTGGTAACGGATCCGTCACCATCCGCCAACACACCAACGTCGACAAGCCTGACCAGAACGTCGTTATCAATCTCTCCGAACCCGTCGCCCTGACTTTCTCCCTCAAGTACCTCGTCAACTTCTGCAAGGCCTCCAACCTGTCTTCATCTGTCGTGCTGCACCTCTCTCAGGAAGTGCCGCTGCTCGTTGAGTACGGTCTCGGAAGTGGTCATTTGCGGTTCTACCTTGCTCCTAAGGTGAGTTATTGATTGTTTCTGGGTCGACATTATTAGAGCCTGAGCTAACGTGTTTTAACACAGATCGGTGACGAAGAGTAAACGAATCATTCGGTGGTCCGAGGGAATATGGGCAATGCTAAAAATGAAGCTCGATGATAATGGAGAGAACTTGGAGGAAATGTTCTTTCACTGCATCCCTGAAAGGGGTTTTAACAATATGTTCACGATAATTTACACATTCAGCGGTCGAGGTTTCGACCTCGCAAATTTTTCCTACATGCATCCTTCGCCTTCTCTGTAAAATTTCAAGATTACCAACCAATCTACGAATACTATGGTTTTTAGGATATTTCACCAGCTATTCGCCTAGCAGAAAGAAAGAATTCATGGATAGTTGTATTTGATTTGTGTCCACCACTCTGAATAAAACCCCACAAGCCCAACCCCAGCGACGGAGACCTAATGCGCCCGCAGGCAAAGGACCCTAAACAACCTCGCAAGGTCCACAACCCCACTAATCAGCAAGGTCGCCAAAAAAAACTCTTCCCAAGCATCCCCCATAAGAAACAGGGGGAGGAAATAAGTACTGACCGGTGAAAAAAATAGTGAAGCGCCATCCCCACCAGAATGATCGGAATCGAATGATACCATCCATCCCCTCGAAGAGAAGACAGAGCAAGGTATGCTGCGTATTGCACTAAAGTGTCATCACACACAATCTCCGCACCGACTCTCCCAAGGGCTTCGGAACAGGACCTATGACAACAAGTTGCCACAGGCCCCGCCCCTCCGCCCGATGTTTCTGATGTCAAGTGCAAGTGTGGGTAAGAAGTGATCTAGGATCACACCAGGCCCTCACGGGCAGGACCGACGCCGACGCGCGAAAACGAACGACGGCGCGGGTTGTGGGTTGAAGATTCCTCCGAATTTCTCATTTGCAAGGGGTTTCGCGGCTCTGGGCGGAACCCAGAGCTGCGAGGACGGGCTGTGAAGCTCGCCGTGTGTAGCAAAGAAACGCAGCATTGGTGGGGATGGCGCTTGAGGAAGGGAAATTGGGCGTGCGAGGTGGGTTTGCGGGTTTTATATTGCTGTCACGTGGGATGAGTCATCTGTGCGCTTGTCCTGTTTGGGAGGGGTATAGGGCAGCGAGGTTGTTCTTGGGGTATGGCTGTGCTATTATGTTTGGATGTGTTGCTTGTTTCGGCTAATTTAGATGCAATGTCTTTCGTAGTATTTTTCTAAGCTGGTTTGAGGCTGTTTGTGGCTGATTATGGTGTATACAGGTTTGGCCTCCTATAATGATATATCTATACTCATAGGTAGGCCAATCTGCAGCTCAATACTGTGAGCAAAATTAGTTCTGCTATGACTCCTTAAGACTAATCAAATAGAGACCGTTCAATTTCAAGAGACCTGTGCTTGGATATGTCAAGGCCGATTATAATCGAAAAAAGCCCTAGTTCTACTAAATTTGCTCGAAAGCTCGAACAATATACGTCTTCCCTTGAACCTCCACCTTCTCCCCTGGCACCTTCCAAGATCCCTCTCCCTCGCCATCAAACCCAACCATCATCGAAGGCAAAGAGCCTGCATCCCCACCAACCAAATACTTCTCATTCCACCCAGATCCCCATTCTTCCCGTCTGGCACTAACATCCGCGCCGGACTTCTTAACAACTATACCACCAGATGAAGTCTTCTGTCGCGTATGAGTCTGCTTCTGACTCAACGCCAAATACGTCCCCCAAATGCGACCGATAAATGTCTTCGTAACCGTCACCTCTCCTTCTTCATTGCCGAGATCTCCATCATCTGACTCCAGCACCCACGAAAGACCTTTGTCAGGCCCCTCAGGGCCCTCTCTAAATGGCAACTCCCGCCATACCTCCTCATACTCCTTATCAGGTGCACCAGGGAGATCATGACGAGGCATAGACCCCATCTCGAGATCATCGCCGTTTGGCAAGGGGACAAAAGTTCCACAATCAATGGTTTCAAATGCGTTGTGAGAGTCGAGCTCGTGGGAAAATGTCACCCGCACTATTGAATTAGTCAGAGGGTTGTTCCTATTTGCATCTCTGAATGCAATGCATTATTTAGGTAAAGGTGACTTACAAGGCTCTTGACTTTCCACGATCCTTTGTCCGGCAATCGCCCAGTCTATCTTGCCTGTTTCTGTTTCTATCCGGAGGTCCACGTACCAGTCCTTTACGGACATCACGATTGTATCGGTTGTTTCCTCGGCTGGTCCTGAGATCCATCGGAAGGAGATTCGCTTGGAGAAGCGACAATTGGATTGGTCGGGTTTGATGGCCATATTGCTGGGTTTGGATTTGAGAGTTGGGTGGTGCTTAGATATAGGAGAATGTTTTTGTGAGATATTAGTTGGCTGTGCTGATGAATATATCTAAGAGCTTGATACCAAATTGGGAATGTCGAAGAGATCTCGGGAAGATGCACTTGGTTATCTCCCCCTCACGTGGACCCCCCGCATCAGTCCCCTCATACGATTTGCACGGTTACTATTTATGTGATTGTCTATGTGATTGTCTATATGATTGTCTATGTGATTGTCTATGTGGTTGTCTATGTTATTGTTGTGTTATTGTATATGTTAGTATGAGAATTGTCAACATCTGATCATACAAGATTCCGAATTTATGACAATTTCGATACACAATAACTAGGACATTCGTCACTCTATGGCCGTAAAAACTAGCCTACAGCTCTGTCCTTGGGGCCTCGAAGAGATAATTTGATCATCCAGCTTCATTGAGGCAGTCATATCCAAAGCCACAGTCGTCCGATAACGAGAATACACTTCCCGAAGCAGCATCTTCATTTCGACCAGCGCAAGACTAAACAGTATCAGCAATCAACCCTAGTGAGGAGAAGAAAGAGCCCAACTCACTTTTTACCTGTACAACCCCTCCCACCCGTGGCAAAGGAAAAGAATAGCCTGTTCCGCTCAGCAGCCCCATGCTCAACAAGCCACCGCTCAGGATTGAACCGATCAGGCTCAGGGAAGACACTATCATTCATCCGATGCACTGAATAAGGCTGACAACTAACAATAGTATGCTCTGGGACGATATACCCATCGATTTCCCTTCCACCAGCAGGCACGTAGCGAGGCAGTGACATCGGAATGGGTGGCGCACATCGCAGCGCCTCTTTAATGATAGCGTCGAGGTACACGTAACTATCCAAGGGTGCATTGGCCGGCGCAGCGTTAAGCTCATTGTAAAGACTCTGCTGGAAAGAGAGGTTCTCAGGCTGTGAGAGCTCCCACATTAAGAAACACAGACCATCGCCTGTTGTGTCGATGCCAGCGGCCATGTGGTCTTTGCATTCTGCGGCGGCTTGCATTAGTTGGAGCTTGGATTCTTTGCGTTTGAGCTTTTCCAGTAGGGAATGGTCGTCGAGCTCAGTCTGGGAGGCTATGTCGAGGACGTATTGATTTGCTTTTGGGGCGCTGCGGGCGTGGAGAAATTTCGGGAAATAAGGTGCCAATGAAGGAAGGTAGTATTCTAGGAGGTTTTTTGTTTTTTGTTCAGTATTTATCATTAGAAGATGGAAAGCAAGCGGTACATACTCTGAAGACTTTGGTGATAAGTCAGTTCATGCATGATATCGAAGTCTTTGGCTATGTCGAGTGATTTAAGACCGCCGGGGCTGAACATGAAATGGGTAACACAGTCCAGGGCATAGCAGTGAAGCAAAGACTGGGAGGGTTAGCATATGCCATTTGGGATGGTGTGATATTTCTGGAAACTCACGTAGATGTCCACACTCTTTTGGTCAGCCTTGACGCACTTAGATACAAATACTGTAGCTCGTTCGTGGATAGCAGTCATGGGTTTTTCTTTCATGATATTGGTCATGGCATATCTGTCGGCAAAGATACGTTTTCTTTTGCTATGCTAGTGGCTATTAGCACTGAACGTTTCATTTGTTTTAGGAATCAATACCTCGTCTTTTAATAAAGTAGAGAACATAGTCCTAAGTTCCGTATTAGCGTCTGCTAGCTATTTCACTCCGGGTTGGTACAAAGGCTTACTTTATCTTGAACTGCCTGAAAAGATCATAGTACTCGGTTTTGTCATACCCGCTGCCCCCCGAAGCATAGATCTCTTTAATTGCATCCAAGCTAGTGAAGGATACTTCATTGGGACTCAGTCGGACGACAGGACCGTATATCTTGTGCAAACGGTGGATTGATTCTCTTCGATTCGCAGTAAACTCTTGATACTTAAGCCACAGACTTGTAAATCGAGTATACCACGGACCCGGGATTGTAGACAAGGGTGAGAGGAGTCCGCGGACGACAATATACCCACAAATGAAGAGAACTCCGACCCAGAGAGATAGCATATTGTGTATCAGACCGGTTCAGAATAACAATACGTTCTTCAAGGATAACGAGCATGCATCCTACAATTATTTATACCATGAGCCTGATTGACTCTCCAATTCCCATTAGATAATAGACATGAACTTGGAGATTCCGACGCCGATACCATTATCAGAGTGCGGGGAAGGCGAATAGCCCTCCAGGGTTGCGCCGACTGGCTGCGATAACAATTGACCCTTTAAACCAAAAGAGGAAACCTGAGACGATAGGACTCGAAATAAAGATATTTGTTCCCAATGTACGTCCCCAGGGCTGTTCGCTACTCGGGCTTGTGCCGATGTTGGGGTTCATCTAGAGCGCGCGCGTTGTAGGGATATGGCGGCTTTGCTGCCGACAGGCTCAGCATTGGTTTAGAGATTAATTATGCGACCGTTTTTTCATCCAACAGTTTCCTGGTCTAGCGGTTATGATTTTCCGTTAACAAATGCGACTAGCAAATGTTCCGGAAAGGTTCTGGGTTCGATTCCCAGGGAAACTATTTTTTGTCTATTTCTTTTTTTCTTACACATTGAATTTTTTTTTGGCTGAAGAAAGCTCGAGTCAATTTCAATTGATGTGCTCTTCTGTTGAGCGCTAAGTATTTGAAGGCACCGCCGATCCAAGTTAAATATCTGCAACTCGTCCACCGCACAACTTATCACATCACAACACAAGCTCTTGAACACGAAGTCGGCGCAGCCGAAGCCAAGGTCAAAGCAAACAGTCTGGATATAACTATTGTGCGTTGATCATCAAAGATTGCAGGAATAAGAACAACATGGTGGTCGATCAACAGTGCGTTGACTGGCGGTGACTCTGCTTTTACTTCAATACCACAGTTTTACAGGCGATGCATTGGATTTTTCTGGGGAATCTAGGCTTCATGGGAGTATGTACCTCATTGATTGGTACCAACGTGTCTTTCAGGCGAGAGGGGTCTTCAGCACTGCTCTTGAGATCATGGCTTGTGTTGTCCTTTCTAGGCGTTGTTGATATGTATTATGTTTGGGTGTGTAAGCGAATTACATGTAGGCTTTCTGTACGGAGTAGGGGATGGGATGGCTTACTAAATTTGGTTCCTTGGTACGGAGTATCAAAATAATCATTGGCGATCGTATTACTCCGTAGCTATCCCGAGACATCTTACACAAGGGTTGCTGTCCTAGAAAGACACGATCCGCTTACTCCGTAGCGAGTCGGATATCCTCTACCATGATCATATAATTCATACCGCGCAAGACCCCAAAATTAGACGATCAAGATCTGGCATTCGCTAGTTTCATTGTCCGGCCTGTCTTTACCGAGATATCCGGCGCTGGCTGAACAATGTGAGCCAACCCGCTGGCCGCCGAGCCGCGTGAACTAGATTTTAACGCACAACATACTCCGTACATAAATGAGACATCAAGCCCGGTGACTAATAATAGTGAGGGATTTGAAAGACTGGACTTGTGGGCCATTTTATTGATCGGATCCGGTGCCGGATGATGGAAGACTGACTAGTTTATGCATGCCGGCCAATTCTGGAAGTTATATCAGAGATGATCATGCTCTATGATTATTGAGCTGGATTGTTATAGATGTTTTGACTGGGTAGAGAACAGTTTATTGGACTTTACCACAGTCCTCTGGTCTTAATGTGAGTACCCCGTATGTAATCCGTGTTTTGAATAATTGACTTTGGCCGAGTGTAATAATAGGATGGATGTGGATCTGATCGGCGCAAGGTGTCATTTGCACATTAGGGCTGATATCGGTGAAAGTGCTTTGCATGCAAAGACGCTTGGCTCAGTTTCAGGAGAACGAAGATGAGGCGATGAAGAGAGCCAGATCGAGGAGAAAATAAGATTTAAAACGTGATATTTGCGTACCGAGGTACTGTCAGCACATGAACCAAGGATAGCCGTCAGGGGCCATGGCTCGGACCTTGAAACGTCACAGCCACTTCTAGTCCTCAGCCACATCGACAATTGCAGCTTTCCACGCTCCAGATGTGTGCCTATTTCACAGCCTTACCTCCACATTGCTTTCCGGGGATGGAATTTATTGTGGCTTGGACTGACCAGTGTTACAAGTTAAGTTGGCATTTACCCAGTTAAGACTACATTAGGCCAGATGGAAGATTTGGAACCCCCGGGCGCATGGGCTAGAACATGATCCCTTGGACGAACCAGAAAGAGTGTGATATAACCACATCTACTTATCTACATATGTATGTTGTATCATTGTATATATTTATCTATACATAAGTAGGTAGAATCACAACACAAAAGAAAACAGAGTCTGGACTCGACTAAGTTTGGTACCTGTCGCATGTCGGATCCACTCCACCGATTCAGGAGAAAAAGGCGTTGAATTGTAAAAATTAGGGTCGCTGGAGAAACAGTTTAGGGCCATCTAGAATCTTTTGTCCCTTGTACATCTAGTACGGGAGTAGTACGGGGTACTGTTACAGAGTATGGAAATCTAGTACTTCGTAGGAGCCTGCATACTGCGTGTGTGTGACCCGCCCCATGGTATGTGGACAACTCTGAACCCCAGACCCCTACTTTCTCTCCCGTCTCGAATCTTGGTCCATTTTTTCCCTTCTTCAACTATTTTCTGTCACTCGTTCTCCCTTTTTCTTTTCGAGGGCATTGTACTATACAATTGCCGCCAACACATTCCCTCTACTCAGACAATACGGAAATTTGCGGGATTAAAAAACAAAAACAACAACTACACGCAAAGTAAAAGGGAAAATCATCGTCTATCTTTAATTCACCTCTGGTTTGAGCAGTCTGTCTGACGGCCGAATGCCCCTGTTGAGGCTTGCTTGCATCTCCTAACGAATCCTAACTTGCCAACTAAATTGCCAAGCCACAAAAGCACACGAGCCTCCGGGTGTTTTAATAATCTGCCCTTTTCCCCCGTGTCGGGCCTATTTCCCACCGGACCTTATAAAGCGAAAAGCCACCGTCAGGTGGTCACACCGTCACCGTGTCTTTCCCTCAGCACTCCGCCGACCTGAGCTCCACCACGGAGCCACTCGGCAAGATTCCTTCACACGGGTCGCGCGCTTCTCTCTTAGGGGGGTCTTTTGATCCCGCCTTTCGACGTCCAGGAGGTGGTTTCCGCGCAAGAGAGGGATACGCCAACGTCACTCCTGCCACCCATACCCCCAGGATGTATCTCCCAAATACACATTGGACGTGGTCCTTTGCGATCGTCACACTCGTCCAAACAATCGTAACACTCGGCCTCGAAAGGTATGCAACCCCGCAGCGAAACACCGGAAATCAACATTGACGCCATTTTTCTAGTTACATCTTCGCAAATTTTCAAATCCAAGAACTCCCAAACAACAGTCCCGCTTCGAAAACCATCCCGACTTTCCTCGCCCTCTATGGTTTCGGTTTCCTCTACGAGCTTGTGCTAGTATATGATGCTCTGCGCATGAAAAATACAATTCAGGTCATCGGATTGTGTATCTGCAATGTTGGCCTCCTGATCTACGGCGCGGTTCAAGTGAAACAGATTCGAGAGGCAGTCAACACCTTGGCCTTGATGAATATGATCAGCCCGATTGTCTGGGCTCAGTCCGAGCCGTTCCTAATCATCATTCCATGCATTGTGGCCTTGGGTACATTATTGATGACTTTCGTTGCTTATAAGCTCTACGACGAGTTTGCGTGGACAATCTACAAGCATATCAGTGCAGATCTGCGGATGAAGCGCCGCTACCTCACCTACCAGGTTCGTGTTTCGCTCGACCTCCCATGAAACAACACTAATCGGTCGCCGATCAGATCTACATCGCTCTCTTGAAATTCGATTTTTTCTTCTTCCTGGGCTTTACGGTCCAGTTCCTCGTGTTGGTCTCTTCGACAAGCATGGACGTTGAATTTGCGCTTACAGTGGCTGCCATCCCCGTGACCATTCTCATTCTGGTCTGTGGCGCCTGGTTTGTGCGGCGAGAAACCATGATTGGCATGATCTCCATCATTGTAAGTCGACAATACCAGCAATGTTGATTTAGCTTCTAACAATCTTACCAGCTCCTCTTATTCGCCGCGATGGCATATTTCTGCTTCAAGCTGTTCCGAATGTGGTCGCCGGAAACCTACTTCAAATACCTGCCCGCTCGACCATCGATGACCTTCTTCGCCATCATCACCATCATTTTGATTGTGATTACTATCATTAACGCCTGCCTATGCACCCACAACTTCAACCGCGGTTTGAAGCCCCACATCAACAAGAAGAAGAACAAGGAAGCGGAAAAGACAACCGAGCTCTCTTCGAACCTTACCCAAGTACCATCACGAATGATGATCGACTAATCATTTGGTGCGGAAAAAGGGTGGTGTTTCTATAAGTACTTTCCCGGGGCGTTAAATTTTGGATCGCCGTCTTTTTTTTAATCTGTGAACTTCGTCTCTGTGTGGACCCCTTGACATTTAGCCTGATCTCTTTGTGCATTTTGCTTTCTTACTTCTGGGCTTTCGGCTCAGTATGATACCTCATCGCTGTCGAATCTGCTCTGCCCACCACCTCCCCTTCTTCCTGGCTCTGAGCTGTCAAAAAATTCCTGTGATTTTACTTTCCTTGGTTTCCTTTACATGTTCATATCCATACCCCCATACCCCCATACCCCCTGCACGAGTGCACCGACGGCGTTATCTGGATGATTTGATTCCCGGAGGTGTTCTCCATGTCTAACGACAGCCATTAATGCTTTTTCCGACGAATGTGAGCTAGTCTTTCTTATTAATATAATGGACTAGACACGTGGGTATTGCAGTAGCTGCTATATTAATAGAATTGATTTGAGAATATCTACTTTAATGTTGTGCTGTATGAAGATAGTGTTGATTGAAAAAAAAACGAGTATGGCTGCTACTTTTAAATACCATATATAAATGTCAAGGATCCTGTAAAGAAGTCAAATATGTATTCACTCGCTAACAATCTCGTAGATGAGTTGTGCTATTGCAGTAACGTGCGCCGAGTCATCCTGATTGGTGGATCTTTAGGTACTGTAAATACTCGTAATTATCGCCCAATTCGCCCCTAACCACCGGGGTTAACAGATCAAATACGGTAACACCCAAGAAACCGTGATCGTGGCCTCAACTCCGCAAACCTCCCTTTCAGACCCTCTCGAGCTTCTCCTTTCCTTTCTCCTTGAATTGCAATTCCATCTTTCTTTTAATACCCTTTTTTTTCTCTTTACAATCTTCCACACACAATTAATCACAATGGTAAGTCCATCCACCCCAGACCCAAACCTCATCAATTACCTATCCGACGATCAAGCCAGCTTGGCCCCGTCCACCAACGCAACACCCCATTGCGAACGCTCTAGCCAATCCCTCAATCCCATAACTAACACAATGCACCACCAGGCCTCCCCTCGACCAGCATCTCCCCTCACCTCAGGCGCCGAGTCCGGCCCTGACTCAAAGTCCGGTGCCGTCGCAGCCACCGGCAACTCCGTCGGCCGTCCCTCCTCTCCCTCGACTCCCGGCGGTCCTCGTGCTGCCATGCGCCGCCGTGCCGCTGCTGACCACAAGGAGACTCTGCGCAATGCCCGTCCCAGCTCCACCCGCTCTGCCGGCGCCGGTGGTTCGTCCGGAACCATGCTCAAGCTCTACACTGACGAGAGCCCCGGTCTGCGCGTTGACCCCGTTGTTGTCCTGGTCCTGAGTCTGGGATTCATTTTCTCTGTTGTTGGTCTGCACGGTAAGAATCATCTACTGGAGATGAGATGAGATGGGAGTGTTGTGCTTGAATTCGTTACTAATTCTTTTCTTCACTCTAGTCATCGCCAAGATCTCCCGCAAGTTCTCCGCTTAAGCACCTGATCAGCTTCAATTGCGTAGTTCAACTGCCGTGAGATGATCTGTACTATCTATCTCGGGTGTTGCTTACGCACTCCCTCGACCTCGAATCTTCCTCTCCTCATACCACCTCACGTACCCACTCCTATACCCCGTGACCCTTGGGCCATTTCTCGTTGGTGGCTGGAACCAAATCAACCATTCCGAAACAACTGGCGTGATTTCTTTTCTGTTCTCATTTTGATGTGTGTAGTGTTTTCATTTGCGTTGCAAAAGAGAGTTGTTCAATGACCTATCTGCTGTATAGGTCATTATGGATAGAACTGATCAATTCGTGTCTCTGTCTTGAATTGTCGGTGTTATGTCTATTGGCTCATCTCCTAGCGATATCATGCGCTGGAATGTGCTGTGGCTATGGCAGCTTGGACTGAAACATGTTAGTGTTTTCTCTATCCGGACATTCGTCTGTACAATATAAAGACTTGATTGAATATGTTCCTGGCATTGAAATTGCTTTTCAAGTAACTTAATCAAGCTTCTGGCTGATCTGACTCACCCTGGATGCTATATGATATGGTGAGTAATCTCTCTTCTTCCATGCTAGAGGCAGTGCACACAGGAAAAGCTCTCTGTTCCGTGGTCCTTCCCATATGGCTCGAAGATACAATGAAATGAAGTCTCTATATTGTCTCCGTGGGAGAAAGCCCAAGCCCTCATTTCCCAAGGTTGTAGTTGAATTGTCGAGTACTATATAGGTATGCCTGGGACGATGACAAACGAACGTACCTTGCTTCCAAGTTGACTTCATTACCGGCAACAGATAATAAACGGACAAATGTTGTCCTGCGTAGTATAGAAGTATAAAAGAAAGGATAGGAAAGGAAATGAGAGCATTCATTACTACAGAAAAATAATGTGCCCAAATGAATTTAAACACCCCATAAACCTGCAATCCCCTAGAAATCCACCTCTGCCCAGCTAGCTAGCAGGGAAGCCTCCTCGATAGGGGGGGCCGATATGACAGATTGCAGCAATTACCAGGAGAGATGTCAAGCCTTTTAGCTTGTCGTCTTGGTAATAATACGTAACCCTCCAGGGCTAGCTGCTCCACGCTCATGAACCCAATCCTTCCGGTCTATCGCTGCACCCAAATCTAGTCTCATCCACACGAGTGAGTCTGGCGCTCCTCTAGTAGGGGAACTGTTGATCCTGGCGGTTCAAGTTTCGTTTGTGTTCGTATCGTTGTATCGCGTCTGCCAGTTCTGTGCAAGTTGACTTCGTGAAAATCCACGGCACCCCTTATAATACCGAGATAAAGCCAACTCATCTACGTCGAGTATGTGCTTTCCAGAACTTGGGACTATGTTCTTATTTCTTCGAGCTAAGTGATGAGCGCTTAGTCTTCAAGAAAATGAGGAGAAATTTCGCTAGTTGCCAGCTGCGCCATACTAAGGAGAGGTTGTAGGGCTCGGAGTGTATCGTTGGATTCCGGACATACTAGGTGCCAATCGACCATGGGGATGAACTTGGGGATGTTCGAACTTCGAAAGAATTAGCAACTGACAAAGTAGTGTAAACGGACCTCAGTGGCGAGAGTACCCAGGCAGGTACCAGCAGAGCTTATGTACATGTATCTATACAGTCTAACGATCAGTGAAACTGTGATCACTTCGCAGTACCCTCTACATGATCTTACAATCATACATACCCCCTTCCACATAGTATCTACCAACCGGGAATATAGTAGAGGGTTATAGACTCTCGTGATTATGTAGTTGTTGGTAGATTTGAATATCGAAAGAAAAAGCTGCAAAGGGCGATGTCGAATTCCATAATGGCCGTAAGAGTCAGCGAATGAAGAAGCTGGCAAATCGATTGCCCTCTGAATGGCTTGTATTTGGAAGAGAATAACAGCCTGTTGCCCTACGGGTATGTATACCTCTCTAGGATCTTGGGTTAAGCTACAGTCCAGTGGAGCGGGAATGTCCCCACTTTCATATACATGTAGTGGTTGTTTCTATGGCTGAAATAACAATTGCAATATGAAGTCAATGTGTACCCCGTATACCTAGACACATGGCTTTTTGTAGTCTTTTTTCTTACGCATCAAAGTTGTCCGATATAAGTTGTATTCATAGCTTACCCTATATGTAACCGGCGCTCAGGGCGTGAAAGAGAGAAACCAATCTACCAACCGACATAGACTAATTATCTCAGTTCCCACAACTTAGATAAGTGGTTTGCTTAGTAAATTTAGGATTTGCTGTCACAGCTTAGACACTCGAGAATAGGCTATAGACCGAGATCGGGGGTCTATGATAACGAATCCCACGCTTGGCCTAAGCGGAAAGTTAATTTGAGATTTTCCACCAGGAATTATGCGATTCAACATAGACAGTCTTTCGCGGGGAGATAGTGGATCATGGAAAATAATAAGAATGAGTAAAACTGCCAAGCATATCTTGATCAACCCTATAGAGCCTCGTGGCCAGGGGAGCCCGATATCCACAGGAAGATCGTATAGCATCAGTCTGGCTAACTATAAATGTTTAGTGCTCGGCAGCGCGAGTTTGCCGACTCAGAAATTCTTATCTTGCATATTCACCGGCCAATCAGAACCATCCAACCACCAGGACCAGGGTGAAGAGGAACTGATAACAAGCCAGCACCAACCAATGACCGACAGCATGTATACCCCTGGTCGAAACCTTCTTCCTCACTTCAAAGGGCCTTTTTGACATTGCGCAGGACTCCATCGGGACGTTGGTAACCCAATTCGAGTGGCGTACCCAGACGGTCCGTATCCCTGCCTTGCGCGCCATGGCATTACGAGAGCATCCTGCCCTTATCTGGCAATCAACATGCAGCACCCCTATCTAAGCTCAAAGCAACCTTGGAAGGATTGTCATGCTGTGCTCTGGGTGCGAATTCGGAGCTGGGGTCCGCATCATGCTTTGGATGCTATGCGTCTCGGCCCTATATGAGGTTGCCATCTGCCGGGGAGAGCTTGATAAATACTCCAAAGTCAATATTGGAGAGTTATACAAGGCGACTTTCAGTATTAAGTGAAGCATCATTCGCTGCTGATCTATTGGCACATTGATAATCTCTTTCACATCTATCGCTCCGCTGCCTACAAACCCCGTGGAGTCAACTGATACTTCACGTCTACGACATGGCGTCCGACGGGGTTATTTTCACGGCACCTTTGTCCCAGAGCTTTGGATATGGAATCATTCTGGGGCTAGGCTTTGCGTTTGCCCTGTTGATGATCTTTATTACCTGGGCTCTGAAACGGTGCGTCTCTATGCCGCAGTTGATATTAGTCATTTAAGCTGACACATTTCTTATACAGATATCAGAATGAAGTCCAAACGTCAGAGATGTTCTCAACTGCAGGCAGATCTGTCAAATCAGGATTGGTTGCTGCCGCTGTTGTCAGTAGTTGGACATGGGCTGCAACCCTTCTCCAGTCGTCAGCAGTCGCATACAAATACGGTGTCTCCGGGCCATTTTTCTACGCATCAGGTTAGTTTCCCTACGAACATGATCTAGCTCTATATCTAACATTCTGTGTATCAATAGGCGCCAGTGTCCAGATCCTCTTATTCGCAACCCTAGCTATCGAGCTGAAACGCCGTGCGCCGAACGCACACACATTCTTGGAAGTCGTCCGCGCGCGTTATGGAACCCTTGTACACATCGTGTTTATAGTATTTTGCTTGATGACCAACATTTTGGTCACTGCAATGCTGCTTACTGGTGGATCGGCTGTGATGACATCTTTGACTGGAGTGCCCACTGCGGCAGCTTGCTTCCTGCTCCCGATTGGCGTGGTACTATATACTCTCTTCGGTGGCATCAAAGCTACTTTCATCACAGATTACTTGCACACAGTGGTAATTCTGGTCGTCATCTTCCTCTTCGCCTTCTCCGCCTATGCCACAAACGCCGAGCTTGGATCTCCATCAAAGGTGTACGAAGCGCTAGTTGCAGCCTCCCAGCGTCACCCTGTTGAAGGTAACGCAAACGGCAGCTATCTAACCATGCGCTCTAAGGAAGGTGGTATCTTCTGGATCATCAATCTAGTCGGAAATTTCGGCACAGTCTTCTTGGACAACGGCTACTATAACAAGGCTATCGCCGCTAGCCCCGTCCATGCATTCCCAGGATACGTGATCGGTGGTCTCTGCTGGTTCGCGATTCCCTGGCTCTGCGCAACCACAATGGGCCTCTCTGCACTGGCACTGGAAGGCTCGCAGCGCCTGAGCTCCAACGATGTGTCTGCCGGACTAGTGCTCCCCTTTGCAGCTGTCAAGCTGCTCGGATATAGCGGTGCCGTCGCCACAACACTAATGATCTTCATGGCTGTGACATCCGCATTCTCGGCGCAGCTGATCGCCGTCTCTTCCATCTTCACTTACGATATCTACGCAGCCTACATCGATCCCAGCGCTAAGGGCAAGAGACTCGTCTGGATTTCGCACATGTCCTGTATCGTCTACTCAATCATCATGGCGGGCTTTGCAACGGGTCTCTACTACGCTGGCATTGGTATGGGATATCTTTACCTGCTGATGGGCGTGATCATCTCTTCCGCCGTCTTCCCTGGAGCCATGACCCTCCTCTGGAAGGGTCAGAACAGAATCGCAGCTGCCTTATCACCACCCCTCGGTCTGGCAGTCTCCCTCATTGCCTGGTTAGTGACCGCAAAGAAGCAATACGGAGTCCTAACCGTCGACACCACCGGTGCCAAGTAAGCATTTCTCGGCCAACGTCCATACTGTAAATCCCAAACTAACAAACCCATGCAGTTACCCCATGCTAGCTGGAAACGTCGCTGCCCTTCTCAGTCCATTGGTCTTCGTCCCCATCCTCACCTACGCCTTCGGCCCACAAAACTATGACTACGAATCCATGCGCGCAATCCGCAAAGTCGACGACACAGAAGTCGCCGCCGCCGCACACGTCGACCTCGAACTAGTTCCAGGCGAGGCAGGTCCCACACAAGCCGAG